CGAGAGAACAGGAAGCCCTGCAAGGGAAATAGAAGCTCAATAAATTAAAGCAACCCCCCTCCCCTCCCCTCCGGACGTGACTGGTGCTGGACTAGATACCCAGGTGGGCACAGTTGAATGCAAGCCAGGTCGGCCCCCTCATCCACAATTAAGTCGTGGATGAGGGATGTTTTGTCACGGACTGACCTGGCATTAAGCAGCAGCCCCGTCGGGCCCGAGGGGTGGTTGATAAGCTTACCCAGAACCTTCTGGTTGCGAGAATAACCAGAAGGGGGAACAGGTGTCAAACATCTGTCCCTCCTTCTTCTATGCTGACATGTTAAACCCCCAACGCCATATCGACCGTTGCCCAACACCACCCCAATGGTGGTGCCCACACGCTCCCCCAGCAACCCCATAGTAGCAGCCAAATGTGAAGCCATTAAAATCAATCCAATAAAATACAGTTAAAACCCTCCAACCCACCCAATTACAAAACACACACACAAACACACGCACAGAGTACCTGGCCAGGCCAGCCCCCGCACGGCCCTGAACGGCTCCGAACGGCGGCGATGCCCTTGGGCTGCCGGCCTGAGGCCGCCTCGGCCGTGCCCAGCGAGTTAATCCCGCGGCCCCTCTCTGCGTCCCGCCCCCAGTCCAGCACAGGGCCACCAACCCCGGGGGGGGGGGGAGGGGCAAGGGCAGGGCCCGCGGAGAACTCGCCGGCAAGAGGCCAGCAGCGTCCTGGTCCCGGTCCTGCGGTGGCCGCTGTCTGTCCGTTGGGGCAGCGGCGGTGTCAGCGTCAGCGGGTGGGTCGGCATCTGCGGCGGCGAGCGGTCTGGCGCCGGCTCCGACTCGCCCGTGCCTGGCGAGTTAATCCCGCCGCCCCTCGCTGCGCCCTGCCCCCAATCCGGCGCAGCTGCCACCCACACCGGAGGGGGAGGGGGAGGGGCAAGGGCAGGGCCCACCCTTGGTATGCATTTAAAGATAGGAGAAAGTGCGAACATGCTTTATTAATCGAGCTCTTGCCACGCAAGTTTTTTCAGTGGCCAGTTCCAGTTTTGCAGGCAGGGGCAGGGGGAAGAGTCAAATGTTTTTACATGACAGTTTCAGAGAGGGCTGAGAAGATTTTCATATTACTAGACGAGGATCTATCTAGGCAATCAGTCATGTGTATAGAAGTTAATGTGTCAGACTGGAATTGAGAAGGCCCGGGTTGAGAACCCCCTCTGTTTGAGTTCTGAAATGTCCAATGATATTGAAGCCATGGAAATGACAGGATGGTTTAGATTGTGATTTTAATGGGGCTTTTATTGTACAGAATTGATGCTGTGCTTTACTTTCTTCTATTGTAAGACCATTCTGAGACTATTTGGTAGAGGATGTTATAGGAAGGTTCTAAATAAATAAACAAATGGACATTTGAATGGAAAGTTGGAAAAGAAGCAATACTTCTAAGCGCTCTTCAGATCTAAAGTCATTTTAGGAACATCACATGTATTGCACATAGTTGGCTTTGCTCATAAAATTATCATTAAAATTAAATGTAAATGTTAACTCAATGAATTTGTAATTAGTCTGAATAAACTACAACTTTCAAATGGCCCATAGGAAGCCTTAGCAACAACAAAGCTGGTGGAGGAGGCAGTATTCCAGCTGAGCTATTCAAAATCCTAAAAGACAATGCAGTTAAAGTGCTACACTCGATATGCCAGCAAATTTGGAAAATTCAGCAGTAGCCACAGGATTGGAAAAGGTCAGTTTACATTCCAATCCCAAAGAAGGACAATGCCAAAGAATGTTCAAACTACCGCACCATTGCACTCATTTCACATGCTAGCAAAGTGATGCTCAAAATCCTTCAAGCTATGCTGCAGCAGTATTTGGGCCAAGAACTACCAGAGGTACAGGCAGGGTTTCAAAGAAGCAGAAGAACTAGAGATCAAATTGCCAATATATGCTGGATCATAGAGAAAGCTAGGGAGTTCCAGAAAAACATCTACTACTGCTTCATTGACTATGCTAAAGCCTTTGTGTAGATCATAACAAATTGAGGCAATTTCTTAAAGAGATGCGAGTACCAGACCATCTTATTTGTCTCTTGAGAAACCTCTATGTGGGACAAGAAGCAACAGTGAGAACTGGACATGGAACTACTGATTGGTGCAAAATTGGGAAAGGAGTATGGCAAGGCTGTATATTATGCAGAGCACATCATGCAAAAGGATGGGCTAGATGAATCACAAGTTGGAATTAAGATTGCTGGGAGAAATATCAACAACCTCAGATATGCAGACAATACCACTCTAATGGCAGAAACTGAATAGGAATGAAAGAGCCTCTTCACGTGGGTGAAAGAGGAGAGCTCAAAAGTTGGCTTGAAACATAACATTAAGAAAACTAAGATCATGGCATCCGGTCCTCTCACTTCCTGGCAAATAGATGGGGAAGAAATGAAGGTAGTGACAGATTTTATTTCCCTGGGCTCCAAGATCACTGCAGACGGTGACTGCAGCCATGAAATTAAAAGACGCTTGCTCCTTGGGAGGAAAGCTATGGCAAATCTAGACAGCATACTAAAAAGTAGAGACATCACCCAGCCAACAAAAGTGCGTATAGTCAAGGCTATGGTTTTCCCAGTTGCAATGTATGGCTGTGAAAGTTGGACCATAAGGAAGGCTGAGTGCCGAAGAATTGAGGCCTTTGAATTGTGGTGCTGGAGAAGACTTCTGTGAGTCCCTTGGATTGCAAAGAAATTGAATCAGACAATCTTAAAGGAAATCAACACTGACTGTTCTTTAGAAGGTCAGATACTGAAGATGCAACTCAAATACTTTGGACCTCTGGAGAAGACCACTGGAGAAGACCCTGATGCTGGGAATGATTGAAGGTGAAAGGAGAAGGGGACAGCAGAGGTTGAGGTGGCTAGATGGTGTCTCTGGGGTGGTCAGTGTGGGCTTGGGTGGACTCCGAGGGATGGTGGAGGACAGGAGAGCCTGCAGGAATGTTGCCCATGGGATTGTGAAGGGTCAGACATGACTTAGCGACCAAACAAACCAACAAAAAACCTAGACCTTTACATTTTAATTTATTAGACATAATTTTATGAACAAATCAAGTCATACTTCAACAAGTAGTCTCTGAAAATAGCTGGAATCATCTTAGAAGCAGGAAGAGCTGGAGGCAGAGAAAGACTGATGCACAGCATTGGTACTTGTTAATGAGGAGTTGATTGTGGCGCTATTTAACAAAATCTAATCTGGGGAAAAAAGCCAGTGAGAGCTTATTAAGCCAGGGAAAACTATCTTAGCTATTAGGAGCTGGTAGCCGAGCATATTAATTTATGAAACTCTATGCAATCTTGACCTTTAACTTGAAGAGAGATATTTTGTTCCTTTGTAAATAATTTCTCTTAATTAACAGACATTGCAATTTTGTTAAGGTTGTCAGTAGTGATGGTGCCAGCCTCATTTCCATGCCGTAGGAAACAAGCTGTTGAGTGTCTTTAGCTTCAGAGGTAGCAATTAAAAGATTTTAGAGCTGAAGCTGCATTCCCTAATGATGATGTCTAATTAGAACATTATAAAAACCTAAGTACCATTGACATAGCCCTAAAAGTTTTCAGAAAGAAAAAGCCCCACCATAGTTGGGGTAGTCTGCCTGTTGTTCTAGCACGTGTGGTGGCAGTGGAAGGTTAGCCTACGGGACTGATTCTCTCTTTTAGATCTACATTGTTGACATCTACAGCATGTAATCAGAAAAAGTGCATAAAACATGGAGCCTGGCAGCGCACACTACCAACTGCCAGGAACATACACATTCTTCTCATTCTGTGATATGGTGACTCTAGCCACAAGCTGGATAACTGACTATAACTGGGAATGTGACTTGGAGGATCATAATTTTACTAAAGGAATGGAAGAAATAACTATGCTTGTAATCTTGTGAAGAAAAATAATATTCATGGGTTCAGAAGAATCACATTTTACCTATCTATTTTTATACAGTTGAAAGAGTCACTATCTTGGTCTGGATAAACTGTGGTTCATTACACTGAAAAAAAAATGCTTGTGTGCTGCTTTTTCATCTCTTTTTTCATGGCACCTGACAGAGGAAACTGTGTTTAGGGGAAGGTGGACAGTATGTAGACCTGGGTCTACTAGTAGCTCTTACGATCATTTGTAGAAGAACAGCAAGGATTTCTTCCTTCCCACTGTATTCTGCTTTAATGGAAAAAAGTACAAGGTAACTTGGAGAGGATTAATATAGGAAAGGACTGTGTGCTCTATTTAGTTTTAGTATTCAGATCACATATCTAAGGCCAGAATTCTTTTAGGGTATAATCTTTGCTCCAGGATCTGAGTGGTGGATCTTGTGATTCTGATGAAAACCAAGATAAATCTCAGACGATTGAAGTTTGTTCATCCCTGATTTAAAGCTCTTTGATCAAGCTGGGTGCACAAGAGGGAGGGGCATAGTGGGATAATAGCTTGTTCCTGGTCTGATAAATCATGGCTTTACCATACTAGGTTCCCAATGTCAGAACTAGGGTAGTTTCTTTCCTACAGAAGCCATTGAACAAATCTGTGGATAATTCTTTTCCCCATCTAGCACCTTAACACTTGGCTCTCCTAATGCATTACTAAATTATGTGCCAGACAGTAGAAGGGCTTTAGGTTAGATTGGCCTGAGTGGAAGATTGTGCTTATTGCTTGAAAAGACCACATGGAACTCTTCCCAGCAATATTTTCCATGTACTTTCTGCCACTTCCTTTGTCAGGCTTTTGACTGCAGTCATTACAAGGACTCTCATGTCCAGCGATGTACAAATAATACAGCAATATGTCTCAAAAAGCAATCTTTGCATTGCCGTTAAGCATCACATAGAGTGCTTTTGGCTATTGTAACTGTAACATTCTTTCATTTATTTTGAGGTTGTCTTATTTAACTTGAGGTAAACCCTGGTGTTCCTCAGGCTCAGATGCAGAAGTAATTTTGGTCTCTCTCTCTCTGTAAAGGTCTGTATTGGGGTTGGATTCTCCAGCCAAGCTGAACTCCATGGAAAAGAAACTTCTCCTTAAGAGTAAAGAGTTGCAAGACACCCAGGATAAGTGCCACAAGGTATTTATTCACATGACCAGCCTCCCTTCCTGCTCCAGGGACACGCCGTCCATGTATGCCCAAGGACCTGCTGGATGCTGCTGACGGGTTCAAAGCTTCGGTGGAGCGGTTTCTTCATCAGTTAGAGAGACATGGGCCTTGTCTTACGCTAGATCTGTTACTTTTAAGAAGAGGAAGCTCTGGATTCTACCTAGACGTTTCTTGGGTCCGGTGCTGGTGGTGGTGTCCAGCAGGTGGCATTTCTTCATCAGCTGCTCTGGTTCTAAATTGAGCACTACAAAGTCTCTTTTTCGTTCTTCACTTTTGGCTTATATAACTTTTGCCACTTGGTCAATTTACATTGAACATTTTCTAACTGTTGCTACAAGCCAACTTGCTGGAATACATTTAAACATCTCTCTTGCTTTCAAGGGTCATAAAGTGTGCAATTATTTCTCTTTCCATTCTTTGTTGGACTTGACCCCAGGTCCCTCAGGAGGACATGGGGGGAGCCCTTCTCTGGTCCAAGATGGATTTGGGATAAAGCTAAGTGACCCATCTCTGGAAAAAAAAATCAGGTGAAAAAATGATTGTGGCTTCTTTGCTAACTGGGGTTCGAAGAGTGACTGCATGTGACCAAACGGCTTGAATGAATGGGGTGACTTAGAATTACTGCCTTTCCCTGAAGGAACTGTGAATTCCCAGGAGCAGAAACCATGGTATATGAATTTAAACAGTATTCTAGCCTGTTCTCTTTTCTGGAGACAGAGCTTCTTCTCAAGTCATGCATTGACCCTTTCAGTTCATTGTGCTGTGGAATACACTTTTAAACCTTTCCGTGTTTATTGCAGATGGAGCAGGAAATGACGCGCTTGCACCGCAGAGTATCGGAGGTGGAGGCTGTACTTAGCCAAAAGGAGGTGGAACTGAAAGCCTCCGAGACACAGCGATCCCTCCTTGAACAGGACCTGGCTACCTACATCACAGAATGCAGTGTGAGCCTCTACCTGTTCCCCTGAAGTCACCCATTTTTGTTGGTCTGGAAAAGCTTTCTGTTCTTTGGTTGTATTGGCAGGGCATATGGCAGATGGTGTATAAGAAGGATAGCTGTCTCTTTAAATAGGGTGGTTAATTGCAAAGCACTCTAAGTCTGTTACATGGTTATAATTGATCAATTAGCTGGAGAGTTGATGCTATGACAGAGCAGACAAAATAAAATTCTACTTGCGTCTTGCAGCAGCAAATCACAGAGAGTTTTGTTGTTCTGGTAAAGCTTTTTGGATTCTTCTTGACTTAACCCAAACTAAGATAGTCATTATTTGTGGGTAGTTCTTTGGCAGTGTACAAGAGTTTGTGTACAAGATCTTAAACTGATTCTATTCCAAGCATAGGTTTAACAGATATGAAACTCTTCATGCTTCAGCTGTTGGTTTACATAGCACAGGGCTGACAACCTTCACTTTGGCTGTGACTTTCCAAGGTTTTGGGTCTGGTCTTGGTCTAACTGGAGATGGTAGGGATTGAACCTGGAACCCTGTATTCATGTGCTGCCATAAATCATGGGCTATGGTCCACCCTCATTCAGTCTTCAGTATGGTAGTGCTGCTGCAGATGCTCTCAGTCAAGCAAGTCTTTAAATTGTAGTCCACAGTTTTTTAAAATCATTGCACATTTCACTGAAGTGGAAGTGGAAGATATTGTTGAAGACTTAAAGTTGAACAGAAGCTGAGATGCAAACCTCCAGTTGGCTGCCTCCTTTGGTTTTGTCTGTAACCAGTTATTCCCTTGGTACAACTTCATGCAAACTGGTGCATGTATTAAACCTTGCACATTTACAGAGCTTAAAGCGAAGTCTGGAGCAGGCTCGGATGGAAGTGTCTCAGGAGGATGACAAAGCACTGCAGCTCCTTCATGATATCAGAGAACAGAGCCGGAAGTTGCAGGAGATCAAGGAACAGGTATGTACAGCGCTCCAAGAAAGAAGGTTGATGGTAGATCAGTTAAGCTTATGCTAGTTAGCCCTTGCACTAGGAATAGAACTAGGATGCTAGTTGAGTACAAAAACTTCACCACAGTTTTTTTTAACTTTTTCTAAATGAAAGGGGAAATAGAGCAATCTGGTTTTGGGAAAAATGGTATTTTGTTCTGTGCCTGTGAATGCTTTCCCCACTGTGTTTTTCCTTGCAAATTTTCCTTTGTGTTCTGTCAAGTATGCAGTACCCCATTTCCTTCCACAGGAGTATCAAGCCCAGGTAGAAGAGATGAGGTTGATGATGAATCAGTTAGAAGAGGATCTTATTTCAGCGCGTAGGCGGAGTGATCTTTATGAATCTGAATTGAGAGAGTCCCGACTAGCTGCTGAAGAGTTCAAACGTAAAGCCACAGAATGTCATAACAGGCTTCAGAAGGTAGTTAAGGTCAGGGTCCTTGAATTTTCTGTTTCAGAATCCATTTTGGCAACTGATGCATTCTCTCCCACCCCTGCTGCATGCCCATCTTGCAGAGGATGTACAGACAATGTGCTTGTTTTCTTTTTATGAACCCTCACTCTAGAATAAAAAAAGCCTTAACTTTGTTAGACTGAAGTAGAAAGTACTTTGTGCAGTGGCATTGCTTATCTATGAAAGGAGCTGAATAGTTTGGAAATCTGACATCTAGGAAAGAATCTCATAGCTGGTAATACTTTGCATTTCCCTTTGTCACCTGACAGGTTTCTTTGCCTGTCCATGGGGAAGGAAGACAAACTTATTTTTTCTAGTACTGTGCAAACTAAATAGAACAGATGCTTCAATGCTAAATATTTTTGTTCTTTTTGATAGGGATTAGTTTATTTTGACCACTCTTGTCAATTGCATATCTTCTTTAAGTAAGCACAACTAAATAAAAGCTCAGCTAACAAAAGATTCATTGGCAGTTTGGAACTGTGGGCATTTTATTGTGAAGCTATTAATTTATTGTGAGCATTATTAAAGAATGCTATTTCATGATCTACTGGAAACTGTACCTTTTAATGTTCATTAGATCACCCCAAAACCCCAGCAAAATAGATTGAGGAATTGCTTCGATTCCAAGAACTTTACCTGAATTCTGTTGCTGAGTTGTATTTTTTTTAAAACTTTACATTAAAGGTTAAAGATCAAGGGAAAACAGAAATAGGAGAGCTGTACTCCAAACTGGAGAAGGTAAGGTTTCTTTGTGAATTTGCATCTGATAAAACCCCAGCATGCATACAGTGGACATAAATTAGTGGCTCTATAACTTTTTCTTAAAGTAGATTTTAGACAGGTGACACTAACTGGGCCTAAAAGTCATGAGATGTGGGTGTCAGAATAAAATATATATTTTAAGAAGCTGGCATTTTCTGGTGGTGCCGGTGGTTCTTCTGCATCAGGCTGAGCTGATGTGAAGTTCTAGAATGTCCATAAACTTTCTGTCTTCTTGAGAGTAGTTGCCAGTCAAGGACTAGTCATGACGTTTCAACTATTGTGAGTTGATGTGTATGTTCAACAGAGGAAGTCATTTAGCAACAGGAATAATGGTGTGGGTAAATCTCCTAAATGAGAAGACCTTCGGTGGTAGGGAACCTAGAGGTAGGGTGGCCGAAGAAAACTCTTGGAATTGGTATTGACAAGGAGGCAGAGAGGTAGGAGCAACTGACTGAGTTGCCATGGATGCTGGCTCAGAGGTAGGATAGTTAAGTGGAAGGAGCAGTCGATTAAAAAGCAGAGGCCTGAGAAAACTGCAAGTGTTGGAGGCGTGTGGAGTGGCCAAGGAGCTCTCTTGAGTCGAATGTCTGACAGAAGGTGCAGACAGAAGCAAGCGTGTTGTGGCTGGGGAGATGAAGGCTTGCTAGGCCCTCATATTGACAATCAGTTGTAGAGTTCAGAATGCGTCTTTCCCACCACTATGCCACTGCACTTGGGGCCTGTGTGAAACCATGCCCCCAAGTCTCCCTTTATCTGTACATTTCTTATGTGCTGGAGTGCTTTTGGGACCCTTGGCTGGTTCATTCCAGGCATTGTCCCTTTGTGGAAAGTATGAGAAATTCAAATGAAGTCGAGAGGCAGGTTGTTAAGCTGTCTTTAAGATGGGATGGGGGATCTTTTGGTTCGGGAATTGCATTTCAATTTGGGAAGGGTCTGCTTGGTAGTAGATCAGTTCCGTGCAATGTATGTAAGAGCTGCCTAAAACACCTTTGACCATCAATTGGTTATTTTGGCATCATAAGCTCAGGAGCCTCGGTCGGAAACTGCTTTGTGTTTGAAGTGTTAAACATGAGGGGTTGCCACCTTTTCTTGTTTCATCTGGTCTTTAAGATGAGATGGGGGACAGGATATCCCTGTGTGCCTTTTTAAAAGCTGTGCCGAGAGCAGGAGTGTCAGAACTGCAGCCTTCCGCAGCAGGGTGATGGAAAAAGCTGCACCTGTTAGATTTCCAATCAGATGCTAAAGGCACAGAGGTCCTGCCAGAGGGGGAAATAAAAGTGTTTCGAGGGACAAGTGAACAGAAACAGCAGGATCATTGGTCTAGAGTATGTGCTTTGCCTGCAGAAGATCCCAGGTTTAATCCTCAGCATTGTCAGGTAGGGCTGGGAAAACTCTGGCCTGGAACCCTGGAAAGCCACTGCCAGTCCATGACCTGCTTTCCTGAACACAACAAGCCACAGACCGAATCTTTGGATGAATCATGGGTTGTTGTGTTCTGTGAATCCAGCTATGCTAATAAAGCCTGGTTTGTTAGATTAAAACTATTGGGAGTTCACAGCCTAGCAGCAAACAATGCCTTTTCATGGATTGTTTGTAGTTAACCATAATTTGCTAGTGTGGCTGGGTTCACATAGAGAGCCTCAGCTACTGGGCAGCATAAGGATGAAGATGATAAGCAGCCCATGATTCAACAGCAGCCAATGGTTCAATAACAACCCATACTCAACCCATACCCATTTGCAACCTATACTCTGGCTTGTTATGTGTGAATCCAGCCAGTGGTGAAAGTAGTGGGATAGATGGGCTGATGATCTGACTTGGTATAAGGCAGCTTCCAAGATGTCTAAACTGTGTAGGAAAGCAAGAAATGAGCTTGCATTTCTAGGTGTGCCTTGTACCTTTTCTGTTTCAGTGATTTCTACAGGGAATAATGGGAGAAGTTCCTTTCAGCAGGAACAACGCTGTCTGCTGGGATGTTCATACCACACGTCCCATGTGCTTAATCAATGATGAGGAATGGCAGGAAGGTGCCTGCTGGCCATGCTTCTGCATCCCCAGCACCAGCATCACCTCTGCCTCCTGGAGACCCTTGTGGGAGAAGCTTCTTAGGTGGACCCAGGATCTCTAAGCATGTACTTCCTCTTTCCTCATTGATGCCAAAATCCATTGCCATGCAACCAGCAGCCGCATTGGCATGGGAGTGTTCCCATGAGTACATTTGTGCTACCTCTCTCATTGAACATGTGAAGGGGCTTATATTAATTCATTCAATTTCTTTGCTGCCCAATAGCAGAAGGTCTTATCCACCTTGAACTTGCAGGACTGTGAGGAAGCTGAGCTGCTTTAATGTTCTAATAGGATGGATCGGGTGCCACATTCTCTGTCTTTCATGCCTGCGCTTTTCAGGTGCTATAAAAGGCCAAGACACAGGTAGGGTGGAGGAGCAAAGGACTGGAGGAATAGAAGAAACCAGGTCAGATGCAGTTGCAGGGAGCTGGAAGAGTCAGCACTCTAGAGAAAAAGTAGGGTAAGATCAAAAGAAAGGTGGAGATGGTGTGGCTGAGAATGGGTAGTGGAGAGAAGGGAGCACAGCCAGGAGTTGCTGAGATGAGGAATGCAGGAACACACATGCCAGTTTTAGACCACCAGTGAAACCCCCGTTTTAGTCCTTATAGCAGTAGAACGATTCTATCCAAAGACGGCTTATTGGCACTAGAGTGATGAATACTCTGCACTCCCGAATGTTTCTCACCAAGCCTCTCCTAGGAGGTTCAGGCATCCATAGTCCTTTTACCTTGGAACTAGAAACCTAGTCCATCCCAGCATTCTTTTTGGCTCAGCCAGAATCAGATTGGATCCCCCTTTTTTAACCACATTTGCTTAGAGCAGTCTTCCCCAACTTTGTGCTCTCAGGTGATTTAGACTACAAGTCCCATCAGACCTAGCCTGCTTGGCCAATCCCCTATGGTAACTGGAATTGCAGCCTAGAAATCTGGAGGGCACTAGGTTGGGGAAGGTTGTTTTGCTTAAGTGACACTGCCAGGTAGCAGGTATGAAAGAGTGGGGGGATGCATCATCACTGGATTGGAAGGGAAATGAAAGGGACCCAGTTACTGAGAAACAAGGTTAAAGGTGGCGTTACGAATTCCTTTCACTTCCAAGATGTGCGTGTATGCATTGTCTTTTCTTCTTCTCATAGGTCAATGCAGAGCAACAGGTCAAAATCCAGGAACTCCAAGAAAAGCTGACAAAGGTAAGGTTTGATTCTGGGAATATCAGAGAATCAGTGGCTTTGTTTTCTTCATGTTAAAAGTTGGGGAGGGTCTTTTTGCCTACGCAGTTTATACATCTCCTTTTTAGAGTTCCCTGTGAGTATTAACACAGGGGAAGGCGGAATTGTGTGTCGTGTTCCAAAACAGAATTAGTCATTGCACTGGGGATAGGAAAAGGAGAAGACTGGTGGGGTGGGTGGGGGTGGGGGAGACATGCTGGAAGCTGAAATCGTGATGATCTCAGTGCAGTCTCCTCTTCACAACATGTCATCCCAAGGTTATTTTTAAAATTGAACTAGAGCCAGCATTGAAATATTTGGTAAAAATTTAAGTTGAGAAGGCCAATTCAGAAATGTTGTACCAGATGTGAGCTTTTTTAGCACTTGAGCGCTATGTTACAAAAATATAATGAACTCTGAGGTAGTGACAGATTGTGACTGCTTAATTTGGATCTAGTTTTCAAGAATGGGATACATGCCCAATCATAACTTGTGGACTATGTTGCATTTATTCTGGAACTGTATATCCCAGGTGTGAACCCTTTTAAACCAGCCCTCAGGAAATCTTGAGCTGTGCTTAACCATGAAGAGACACTGGCTTTGAACTTCAATAGCCTTGTAGACAGGCCTGTTAATAGTACAAAAGCTGCTGAGACTTAGGCGAAGGAAATGCGGCCATTTGGGTTTAGTAGTAAAGCTGATTGGCCCAAGGCAGTCCATCAGTGTCTGTGCTTGGCCTATTTCAAAGGACTGTGAGGGCTGCAATGGAGAATTCAGTGTATGCTTCCTAAAATTCTACAGGAGGGGAAGAAGGGGGAACAGTAAAATGATCTGTTTTTGCAAGGAGGCTGAAATCATGTTGATTAAACAAAGTAAGTAGGATTCTGAAAGAACCTCGTGCTTCTCAAGTTACCTACTCCTTTGGAAACATAAAATTGCACCTTGCTAATTTGGTACTAAAACTTTATCATGAAACTTATATCTTGGTAGCTCTGTGTAACTTGGAGTTTGCTTAATTTTGGGGTAAGTGTGGGATATTTTGTGTTCTCAACTGCATAGAGATGGAAAGATGCAGTGGTAGATTTATGTGCTCTTTCATACATACTTTTCCCAATTCTGCAAAGAGATGGTCTTAGATATATTACTTCAGATTTAATTGCATTCCTGATAGCCCTTTGTTTGCTGCAGGCATGCTGAGCAGAACATTAGTAAGGGTGTGTGGCAGAATTAAAATACATGAGTTTATTAATGAATCTTGCAAGAGGAGGAGCAAGGCGGCAATGACACCTGTCACATTAAATAACAAAGTAGATGTGAAGGATCTAGTTGCTTCGTGTCCACTCTGAAAGTTGTAATATTGCTGTAAGACGGGCATCTCCTGCTCCCCATAGAAAGGCCAGTATGAGGCATCGGGTTCACCATGGCAGTCAATGGCGCCTCCTGATCAACTGCCCCCACTTCCTATTCTTGTTATTCCTGGCACTCGTTGTGGCTGCTGGCATGTATGTCCCAGGCAGACCAGAGCAATGGCAGTTCAATAAACAGCCATAAACATGGCGGACAAGTGCCCCAAATTTCAGCAAGTATGACCATTGAGTCCTAATGGTGCGGCACGTCAAAGGATACTCCAGTTTTCCCTGCGGTTAAGCTGAAACTCCCTCTAAGGTTTTCTTTAAAGCTGTTCACCTAAGTGTGTTCATTTCTAGAGCAGGGAGCCCCAACTTTGGTGTGTCAGTGGGTACATTTAAAATGTTGTGGAGTGTCACGGGCGCTGCCAAAAAGCGGCTGTCACAGGGGCTCACCTATTCTTACAATTGTTGTCATAGTGAGCATGGCCTCATTTCCAAAAAGGCACCCTTAAAGGAAAGTAACATGTTCAAGAACCAGAGCACAAGGCTGAGATGCGTTTGACCTCCAAAGCTCAAAATCACTTTTCTCAACCTTTGCTTTGCCTTACATCAGCCTCCTAGCATAACAGAAACTCTTAGAGATGAAATACAAATAAGGAGAGCAGACAGTCTGCTGGGTGCCATGTTGGGGACTCCACTTTCAGAATGCTGAATATTTTAGCTGACTTTAATTTCTGGACATTCGTCTGAATTACTGTAAGCTGGCATGTGCTCACTTAGAAGCTGTCTGCACTGTTGTTATTGAAACATGTTTTATGCATGTATAAGATGGCAAACTTTGATGCTGAGTATTAATCTGCCTTTTTAAGGCTATGAAAGCCAGTTCAGAGGCCACTGAACTCCTTCAGAACATACGCCAAGCAAAAGAGAGAGCAGAGAAGGAGTTGGAGAAACTGCAGAACCGGGAAGACTCAAATGAAGGCATGAAAAAGAAATTGCTTGAAGCTGAGGTTAGCAAAAGCATAACTTTGAAAACCACTGTACAGGCTGAGCTCCGACCTAATAAACCTGATTGCTGGTGTGACATTATGGCTTGTTAGTTGACTGGTTGGTCTAAACATCGGTTGCCTGGTTTTGGATAAAATGGGAGACTTGAAGTTTAAACTGCAATGGGAATGAAAGCTTCAGGGTTAGGGTTATACCTGAATTTGTATGCTCTCTAGAATGTGAAGGGAAAGAGGGAGTGCATGCAAGCATGAGGCTTGTGGTTGCTTCTGCTTATAACAATAAGCCATTGTCTGAATTGGCTGTATTACATGAAATGCGGGAATTGCTTTTCAGGGGCAGTGACATGGCTTGCTTATTGTTTTTGTTTATACTTTCTCCTTTAATGGTATTTTATTGGCTTAGTCTTTTCAATTAGAGGTCAACTGGGTTATCTTGTTTTGGGATGAGATGCTGAAATGTTTGTACTATGACCGCTGCTGCTTCCTATGAAAGCAGCCACACATATATAGTCTCACTTCTGCTTTCCTGAATCTTGAACAGGAAAGGCGCCATTCTCTGGAGAACCAGGTGAAGAGGCTTGAGACAGTGGAACGTAGAGAGAACCGACTGAAAGAAGATATCCAGACTAAATCTCAACAAATCCAGCAGATGGCAGATAAAATTCTGGTGGGCAGCGATAAAAAATGGTAGACTTTGAGCTTGGAGTGGGATGGTGCTCGCAAGCTCCGACTTAAAATTCAGTGGGATGTGTTAAATACCAAAAAAAAAAAAAAAAGTGTGTTTTGAATGTATTTCAAATGATAAATATCTCCAGTTGGAGGCAGGTGAAACCTGCTGGAAGAATTAAATGTAGATAACCGGGTGCTTGGACTTGGGGGCTGAACATTTCGTGCTAGAATCTTTATGTGCAGGTGTAGCATGACTCAGCTGTTGCAGAAGAGAGCTTAGCCTAGCCTTCCCCTTTTCAGTGTTACGTGTTGGCAAATGGTGTGTTCATGAAAGGCTACGGAAGTTGCAGCATTCCCACCTTGATATTCTTGCAGGATTCATTTGCAGCTGCTGCCCAGGATGGCCCAGACGTGATTCTCTCCTCAGAGGCTGATGCATATCAGCATCTGTGTTGTGCTGTTGGGCCTCGCATGAGGATGACAAATCTCATGCACTGGTTGGCAGTAAGAATCCCAAACTCTGCATGTCTCAAACGGGCCTAGAATAGGTGCTCTGGGGCGCAGGCCAGTGTGTGTAAGGCACAGACGAGCAGCCACCTTGCAGAGCCACGCTGGTTTCTTTGGCAGCACAAAAGAGGCTGGTGTGGCTTTTCACAGAGCCCAAATGCCTTGGAGGACTTTCCTCAGAGTGAAGCACAGGGATGGAGGTGAACCCGGAGATCACTGGGGGTTTGAAAAAGGAGTCCTTGGAGTCACCTTGCGGATGGCAGCTGCTTGCCAGCGGTCAGGGTGGGACTCCCCAGCTATGGCTGAGGTTTCCACTCTCCCTTCCTCAGTGGTGAGGCCTCACATCTCAGGCAGGGGGGCATCTGGTCCCAGTCCTTTCAGTAGATGCTCTTAAGAATACTTGTTCTGGTGGAGACTGCTGCTTCTTTCTATTAATTGATTTTTTTTAACTACCCAATTGCTGAATGCTCGGGGCAGTTCATGACAATTCATTAAACACAGTTCTCAGATATAATAAAATTAGCATGACAAAAGCATAATTTTTAAATTACAAAAGCACAATCAAACAGTTAAAATTAATGTTAGTACTATAGCACCTGTTAAAAATAGCTGACATAAATGCCCCATTGCATGATCAAACGTGCTTAAGTCCCTTTAAGTGCCTGGCCAAAGAAGACAGTCTTAACTTGGTACCAAAAAGATGATCATGTTGGTGTCAGGGAGGTTTGTGGGCAGATTATTCCATAATTGGGGAGCTATCCTTGAGAAGGCCCTCGCTGTTGTTGCTGCCCCCCAAGCTTCTCTTGGAGGTGGTACTCAAAGGAAGGCCCCAAATGTTGACAGTAGCATCCAGGGACCCTCAGGCTGGGAGCTGGTATACCTTTATCTGGGGTGTACTATTTTTTAGACTATCTTAATAGACTGTTTCTGCATACAAAGGAGCCAGTGTGGTGATGTGGGACTGGGGAGACTAAAGTCTGCAATCTGTCATAGGTGAGTTTGGAACAGCTACTGATTCTCCACCTATGGTTGTTAATGGGGATAAAAGGGAGAGAAGGACAATCATGTGCACTCCCTTTGTCTCACTGAAGGAAAAGCAGGATATAAATATAACAGAGTAAAATTAATAAAAAATAACACATAGAAAACAAGCGAGTGGAAAGCAGTGTGGAGAGTGGGAGCATCTCTCACTCATTGCAGGCTGTTCCAATAGGAAGGTGTGGTGGAAAGACTTGGAAGTTTCAAGGTTGCTTAGTAAAGTTTCTCAGGCTGAGTACAAGAATGGGCCTGCTTTGGAAGGACAGAAGAGGAAAAGGGGAGCCGGTGTGAAATCCAGTCCTTGACCCAGTAAAGAAGCAATGGGAGCCAGGAGCTTCCCAGTTAGAGGGACTTTGTGGTTCCCCCCACCATTGTGCCCTCAAACAGCAAGAGCCATCCTGAGGGAGGGCTGAAGGGTGAGGGATGAAGGGGGAATCTAGTTTAGTCTGAGTCTAGTTTGAACTCAGGTCGTCACATGTGCAGATGCTTCTCTCTCCATTTTGGTAGGAGGTTATTAGACTTCATACTGTTCTGTAATCCACTGAGTTTCAATAAAATAACTGCACTTCAGTGGATTGTCTTGAGGTTTGAACTCGGAAGGAAGGAGGGAAGGGACTGGCTCAGGACAAGTAGCATGTGAGGGAGAAGGCCTGGAGCCTTTGTTCTTGGCATCTAGCTTTTTAATGCCCAATTTCCTTTTAAGCCAAGTCTGACAAATGTAGGTAAGATAAGACCTGGAATATAAGAACAACCTCTGGTCATTGATCAGTTCCTCTTTTGGAGCTATCCAGCCGAGTGTCTATCGCCACTAATAGCTGTGGCACATCCCGTAATGTAACCATGCACCATATGAAGACATCCTTCCTTTTGTCTCTCCTGAATCTTTTATCCTTCAGCTTCACTGGATGACCCCACTGGATTCTAGTATTATGCAAGGAGAAAAATGTCCACCTATTTATTTTCTCCACACCATGCATAATTACATAAACCTCTAGCATGTTTTTCCTTCCATGCAAATCTGATTGTAGATTCTGTTCTGCCTTCTGTCCATCCTTGGATTATAGTGCTTGTATACCAAAGCTAGCTATACCAGCTTTAGATGTGGCAGCATAAAGGGGACTAGTTCAGCTTAGTAATCATGACAATAAAATCTCTGGTCTTCTGCCTTCCACCTGCTGACGTGCCTGAATTACAGTTTGAGGTGTGGTAGGAACACTTTCTGCAACATGATTCAAGTGCTGCTGCTACTTTACATGACGTGCAAGAGAGGTTAAAAGCTAGTGCATGTTATATAAGAGGGAATAAAATTCCAGTTGCTCTAACAGAAACTGTGCAAATTAAATGGAGTATGTTTGTAAACTCCTTTCAGTTTGTGTGTTTCAGTTGTGTGACATTAAAAACTGCAGAGCCCAGCTTTAGAACCCTTGGCAACCTTGCCTGTGTTCCAAGATATCTGCTACATCTTCTGTGTAAGGGAAGAGCAAAATTAGTCATTGTGACATTTTCTTCTCCAAAAATGGTTAGAAATCCATTCTCTTACAGAAGAGAAGGTGCTTTGCATAGAGGAGTTGCTGGATTTTTGACTTGTAAAAATTGGTTTTTGTTCATCGGGGAGTTGGGCAAGTGTAGTTGCATGATCAAGCAGAGTACATTTCAGCAATTCAGAGTTCCTTTATTTTATATCAGTTCTATTCTCCTAAAAATGTCTGTGGAAAGTCTAATTATCTTGTTTCATTTCTGTACCTCCCAATAACTGAAGCTCTCTGGGTACTTCACAACTATTCAGAGTATTGTTATTTTGGAAAAAAGTAGTTGCAGTCCAAATAATGAGTCTAAAAAGAAAGACTGTATAATTCCAACAAATGGCTGAACTTGTGTTAAGCTTAAGCTTTTCTAGAGGGGTTGACATTTACTGCTTGCATTAGTAGGATGGGGTTAGAGGTTTCTTCTTCGCCTATGAGATTTGGTGACATTCCAGGTTGGAGAGCTTAGAAGAGAAATCAGTTCTGTTGAGCCTGGTTGAACATAGGAAGAGCTCTGTTGGATCAGGCCCAGGGTCCTTCCAGTCCAGCGTTCTGTTCTCACATTGCCCCAGCTGCTGCCCACAAGACCCTACAAGCAGCACCCCGCCCAAGTTCTCCAGCATGTGGTGAAGCTAAAAGCCAAAAGCCACATCACTTACTTTGCCGTTCTATAGAACAAATGAAAATGATAAAAAATAGGTGGGTTTGAGGGGACACTCTGGAGAAGTCAAGCGAACAGCTTTCTAGCGTTTGCTTATTCATACTGGACAGACTCTTCTGTTGGGAACTAATTACACCCATGGCTGATACCTACTGCAAAATATGCATGATGTCACTTTTCATGTAGGAAATTGTAAGCATTTAAAGTGATCCTCAAAGAATGAGACATTGGTGTTGTTAGGAAGGGTACAAGTGACAAATGAAAGGCCCATCTTGCCTAATGAGCCGCTGAATCAACCAGATGAATCAGCCTCAGCTCTGCCTCATAGCGGAGGGAATTATCCACACACTGTTTAGTTGGTACTGACAATGTTCCCACTGCCTGGTGCAGGAGATGAGCCTTGGCAGTTGCTGAGGACAACAGTCAAGGAAGCTAAATTCCATTACAAAGCTGTTATGTTTCTGGAACAAGCTGTGGATTTGGGGAGCTATCCAGATTGGCAAAAGAAACGTTCCAAATTCTGTGAGGCTGCTCACAGTTTGGAAAGAATAAAAACAGAAAGGGAGATCCCCTTTCACACAGTTTGGCTCTGTCCTATATTTTGCCTTCCTCAACTAGGGTCCCTCCAGATGTTTTAAACTACAGTTAAGATTCCTGGCTGGTAGCTGTGCTGGCTGGTGCTGATGAGACTTAAAGCCTGCAATATCTGGACGGCTCCAGGTTGGAGAAGATGAACTGGATCAGGACAGGATATTGCTCTTCCCTGACCTCAAGTTCTGGGACCTAGGTGTCAAAAAACCTGGTGTGACCAATAAGATTGTAATACCCATGCCTTCAAGTGCTTCACCTAGGATATAACATTCAGCTGTATTTTCATTGTCTTCTATTAAGGCAGCGATGAACTGCATCTTTCTTGCCTAACTGAGTGGTTGCTATTAACTTATTGGGAAAAGGAAAACATCACCCTTTGAAGTTGGTCCGCATGGGATCCCCCCCACCCCCACACGCATCCTCTTTTAGGCTGGCCAGGTTTCCACTGATAAACCTGTGTCCGAATGCATAGTACTTATTGTTAATAGCATAAAAAATAAGGTTGCTTGTGTTTGCTAGCTTCTCAGCTGGGAGAGCTGATGCGTATGAAGCTTATGGTCAGGTATCTGATGGTGCCATTGGCACTCACTGGGGAGCATAACACCTGAGGATACTAAGCAAGAGATCTGGGACTCTAGAATCCTGGAGGAGGCCAGCTAATAGCAAAGGTTAATTTAGGAAGTTGCTTCATACCAGATCAGCTAATTGGTTCATCCTATTATTTCTTTTCTACCCCACCTTTTAAATAAAAGAAGTCACTCCAGGTGGCCTTCTTAGCCTAGTATTGTTGACACTGATGGACAGTTTTCCAGGGTTTCAAGCAAGATTTTTTTTCTAGCCCTACCTGGAGTTGTCAATTGGTTGAACTTGGAATCTGCCCCAGGCAAAGCGGGTGTTCTGCCACTGAGCCACAGTGCTTTCCTTTTGGTTGCCTGCACCATGACCTAGGAGCACTGGATGCATCCATATGAACTGGCGGCTATTCCCATCTAATGCTTCTTGACCTCTCGTCTGTGCAGCTTGTGAACTGACCCTCTTACAAAATGATACCTAACTTGATTTCAGTCAGACACATTTTTAGATCCGTAGAAATGTAAGAAAGTGATCAGCATTCAAAAAAAATCTCCTAGCTACTCCATTCTGTGTAGCACGTTATGCCGTTGGTATTTCCATGCCTACCCCCCATCTCTTGGGACAGATGAGAGGTTTGAAGTGGAAAGAAAAGAAAGGGAGGAGATTGTAGTTCAGTGCTGAAGGTCTTGGGTTCAGTCGCCGGCTTACAGTTTAAAAATTCTTTGCCTGAGGCCTGGGGAGCTGTTGGCAGAGTAGGCAACATTGGACTAGCTAGATAATTTGTTATGGTATAAGGCAAACCCCTGTGTTCCTTGGTGACTGGAAAAATAACCAGTTGCCTTTCTCTGAAAGAAGGTGAGATTCTTGAACTGGGGTCTACTGTTTGGAAAAGATTAGAGCTAGACAAGAGAGAGAATACTTAAGAATACATTTTGTCTGGGCTTTTGGGAAGTGTAGGTGGATCCTGTCAGTGGCTATGGTAACAGAGGCAGGGGCAGTCGAGTAGGAGCTGCTGGAGGAAAAAGTGTTCCAGTGATTTAACTCTGCCCTGGAGTCTATTGATGTGAAGCTTATCCTTCCAGACTCGCTAGAAAGATCCTTGATGTCTCAGCTGCTTTGGACTTGGGAAAATGGGTTATAAACCTTTTAATCACGAAGTAGCATGTTTTAATAATATTTTCAGTTGACATTGTGTTCTAGGCATTGCAGTAACTGGCCAAACTGGTAACACATGGGTTTCTGTGAAAGCTTTCCCTTGCAATAGTTAGAGTCTCTCTCTCTCTCTCTCTCTCTCTCTCTCTCTCTCTCTCTCTCTCTCTCTCTCTCTCTCACACACACACACACACACACACACACACACACACACACGGGGGCGGGGGGGGGCTCTGGTCACTGAAAGGATGGGGTGCTGTAATCACTGCAGCATGGGTTACTGCAGCCTTTACTAGTTAGGCTCAAGGATCTTGCTTGGATGAGAGACATCCTCACAGTTGGCAACTGGATTCTGTATGCTTCTGAGCGTTTATTGCCTCTTGATGGCTTTTCCCATCAAGGGCCAGGAAGAACTGCAGTGCCCTTTATCTTCATGCTGTTCCAACAGCACCCTTCCTTCTGGTGTAGGAGCAGCAAACCTCTTTTACCCCGGTGGCCAAAGTCCATTTCAGAGAAGCTCTTTGGAGCTACATTCCTGGGGTGCACGAGACCAGAAATATAAAAATCAGCAGCATATTTTAAGCATCAGGTTACTATTTCTGATAATTAAGCCTTACAAGAGGCATTGCAACCTAGAAAGGCAGTGGGATGCGGGGACAACAGTAGGAAACCTCTAAATGGGATGGCCAGCAGGAGAACCAGGCCCTGCTATCTGCACATCTGCTCTACCTCTCTGGGATCTTTCTCCATTCAGCTTCATTGGATGGCTCTGAGTTCAAGTATTATGAAGTGTGGTAGCAGGGAACTAGCCACATTGTGCAGAATGAATAGACTCCTGTCGTGTCCTCCCCAGCTCACTTTCCTTTAAACTAAGCAAGTGCCAGGCATTGTAACCTTTGCAGGGGTTGTTCTGTATGGTATCAAGGAACGCAGCACGCCTGCCTGTGTGTCCTCACTGCACCTTTTCTTCCCGCTTTGATTTGTTTTAATCTCTGCTTCTAGGAACTAGAGGAGAAGCATCGGGAGGCACAGCTTGCGGCGCAGCACCTGGAGTTACATCTGAAGCAGAAGGAGCAGATGTATGAAGAAAGGATCAAAGTAAAGAGACCTTTTGTCTTCAGGCACACCTGAAAGATGTGTGGTGCTCTGGATGAAATCCCGAGCAGTTCTGCATTTTTTGTTTTTCCCATTATGGCGAGGAATTCTTTCCCTGAGTGTTTGGAGAAGATAAACATGTCTCCTTGACACCTGCCATCATGCTGGTGCCTTGAGATAGGAGATGGTTGCCTTTCAAGACAGGACTGGGAGAAGCCAGTTTTGACTCGAACCATTCAATTGTAACTGCATCCATTTCTCAGTAAAAACCTGCTACGGTGTATCTTTTGCCATGATCTAGCTGGGTGCAATTGATGCTTCCTTCTAGCCCAGCCTAATATCCTAGGTGCCAGTAGTAGATTTATACTGCTGTTCCACAAAATGATTGTGTATAAAATTTATAAAATGCCTTCTGGTCTCAATGTTGAACAGCGTAGTTAAAAAACAGACAGGTTCTGCCCCACAGCTCTTCAGTCTAAAAGGATGTGAAACTGAAGGAGGGGGAATGAAGGAGAAAATTACCTAAGTGTCAGAGCAGGGGCAGCTAGCAGTTAATCAAAGGGCACATTGGCATTACCTTAATGAAAGTATATGACACATCTCAATGAAATTATAGTCATCCTCTCAGATTTACTTCAGGCCAAGTAAGCAGTTTGTAGTTCTTTCAACCCATTTCTGTATCTCTTCATTACGATTTGAGAAAGACTGCTGTGAATTGTTCCAGTTTGCACATCGCTATACCAATTGTTACAGTTTTTTAGAATCTGGTTTATTGTGAACATGGCAGCATGCTGGTCTACTCCAGTTAAGGTTCTTTGCCACAAAATGAGTGCAGCAAGGAAATGAGAGTTGGAACTAGCTTGCTGTGGGTAGATGGGCAGGGTTTTGGGTTGGACTTCATGGGAAGCAACTCCGACATGGACTGTCCCTGGATTATGTAGCCTCTCTCGCTTGCAGCAGCAGTGATCAAACAGAAAGCAGCACCATGGAGTCATGTTTACTGTAGCCAGATTTTTTTAAAAAAAACTCTAGCTTATTGTGATATGCATCTAGGGCTAATAATTTGGCAAGTGAAGGAACTCTTGGAACACTGAACATGCTTTTACTAAACCTGACTGAGGTGGTTTAAAGGTGAACTTGAGACATGTGGTGTAAAGATTGAATAGATTTGTGGATGTTTGCCTGACAGGTTTGAAAATAAGGAGCTGAGTTTTGTAGGGATCTGTTTAATTGATTTCAGTTGTAGTAGAAGATTGAACAATTAGATTGCAGCTTGCATAATCTTTCATTAGTGGACAACGGATTTCCCTTCAGATTTTTTAAAAACCTTTTCATATTGTAAAATACCACCAATGTGGTATGGCAGTTGGGAAAGTTAGGTTATTGTATATCTTACTTTTTCACTGGTGGAGGAACCACAATGCAATCTGACAGATACAAATCTGTTGCTGATGCATGCAGACATGCTAGTACGAATTAATTCACTACGTTAGCTGAGGAGAGGTGATAGAAAAGGAATTTTGTATCTTACACTGTGCCATCCATTAATAGTTTCCTTACATTGAGCTGGGTGTATTGTGTTGCTTTGCCACCAGTGGTTAAAGGCCTCTGGATATGTACTCAAAGGAGAAATGCATTACAATAGGAGTCTGTTTACCAGGTCTAATACTGCACTCTCTGCTGGTGTTGGATCATTGGCTTTTTCATAGAGGTGGCCCTACTGTTAGGAGAGCTGAGATAGCTGCTTTGTGCAGCAGATTTAGGGAAATATTAAAGCTGGCTGTGGACGTAATTGTTCACGTGAGGCTTGGGCTGCAGTATTTGTCCTCCAGTAGACAAACAGGCCTGCTGCTCTGCCACGCTTAGTGGATCCCAGTAGTGCCCCAAGGTGATGTTCATTCCCCTCCTGAATGAACGCACTGCCTTATGCTGCATGCGTCCCTTGGCCTGTCTGGTCAGGTTCTGTCTTCCTTGAGTGGCTTTCATGGCTTGAGACAATTCTCTTTGCCAGCCCTGCCTCTTGATTTCCTGTAACTGAAGGTGGGGAAGTTTGTACTCTGGGCCTTTTGCATGCATGACGAGCAGTCTGGCATGATGCTCCTGCCTTCCCTGTGTGAGAGGAAGGGGAAGGGAATTGGTTCAGTAGTGGAGCATATGCTTTGCAGAGAGACCCCGGCGTTATTTGCTTTTCGGCGCCAGGTCAAGACCTTTTTATTTACCTGGTATTTTAAAGTTTAAATATTTTAATTACGTTTTTATCATCAGTCGTGGGTTATTAAGATGTATTTAATAATGGGTGATTTATTGTAAGCCACCCAGAGACATACAGTAATGGACGGGTTAGAAATACCCCTAATAAATAAATATGCTGCTGCAGGGTGGGCGACTTACGGCCCTTCAAATGTTTTTGGCTTACCGTAGTGAAAGGTCAGTGAAGATGGGAATTATAGGTCAAAAAATTTTGAGAGCCACAGATAGTCTGCACTTGATGCCTGCAGAATGGTGAGTGAATGCTCATACTCGATGCTCCTGTGAAGTTTCATTCAGCTCCCGGCACCAAAGGGTTTTAGCCTGGCTTAGGAGAAGTCCCGCTGACTAACCCTTTTTTCTTTCCTTTGAGGTTCTGGACAACCAAATGAAAAAAGATCTTGCGGACAAAGAGGCACTTGAGAGTCTTTTGAGAAAACATGAGGAAGAAGCCCGGGAAAAATGCAAGATTCTTGCTGAACAGAAAGCAGTACGTGAAGCATTGTGGAGATATTGTAATGTTTGGGTGGGATAGCCAGGCTAGCATCCTACTGTGCAGTGATGCAAAGAAGTGGTGTGTATCAGTGTGGCAAATATGTCTTGTTAGGCAGTTTATGGGTCAGCATCCCATGATATGCGGATCAAAAGTGTGGGCTTGTCCTTCCTGTATTGCTGCTTCACTGAAGCCTTTTGTCGTTGCTATCCCAGCATCCCCAGCAAACATCATAAACTACCTCCTAGATCCAGGTGTCATCTAGTACAGTGTCCTTTTGCACAGCTAGCCATCCAGAGGTTTCCAATAAACTCTGGAGCAGGACACAAAACTACAAAGCCTCTTGTGTGGGATTGTCTGTCTGTCTGTCTGTCTGTCTGTCTGTCTGTCTTTCCTTATTTATTACATTTCTATGTCACCCAATAGCTGAAATCCAATGCTTGTCCTAGGCATCTAATATGCAGTCGCTTACCCATAGATTAAATTTAATTATCTTTTCCAGTATGTATGCCATTCTGTATATATCTAATCTCTCTTTTAACAAGCATTTAAACTAGTAGGAAGTACCACATCTTAAGCTGGCTGTGTTCTATGAATAAGGTTTTTTTAAAAAAAACTTCTGTATTGTCTGTTACTTGAAGGTCTCTGGGAGGTTTACAAGATGTCGATTACATGTATAAAATACATGTAAAACATAATATATAATCAAAGTAGCAGCCAGCATTGGAGCTAGCAGCCATTGCGAAACCTAAGAATGCACTAGCTCCCTTTTTAGGCTACAAAGGCAAAAAAGCCAGGGAAAGAAAAGTGTCCCAGCGAGTTGCAAGAGGCCACAGTGTAGGCGGCAGGCAAGCCTTTCTGGGGAAGGCATTCCACGGCTGGAGGCCCCCACTTGGACCAGCCTTTCCTTAGTGGCCCCCACTTCACCCGATCCATCCGAAGCAGGTGAAGACAGGCCTTTGTGGATGAGCTTAGAGTCTGAGCAGGCAAATATGGGGCATCTGATGCTTCAGTCAACCTGGCCCCAAACTGTTCAGGGCTTCACAACACGATGGTTTGAATTTGGCCTGGAAATGGACTGGCAAGCAGCCCAGGGAATAGATGACTAGCATAACATAGTCCAGCCCCTGTAAACAATCTTGCTGCTCTGTTTTGGATCAGCTGAAGTTTCCAGAGTATTTTCAAAGGCAGCCACATATATAATATGTTGGAATAAGTGTATTATTTTTGTCTGTCCTAAAACTACTGTTATTCAATCCCACTTGGTGAGTGCTCAAGCTCTAACCATATAAGAGAGGCAGGAGGATGGTTTGTGGCACGCCAGATGTGTTGACTTACAGCTCCCATGATCCTTTATCAGTGATTGTGCTGGTGATGGCCAATGGGACTTGTAAGGCAAAACATCTGGAGGGCCACAGGTTGCCCACTTCTATCCCAGAAAGATCTAATTTAGCATATTCGGCTGACCTGTATGGTGAACTACGCTTTAAAAAGCCCTATCCTGTGTTAATTTTTTGTCCCATCATACAAGAAATATTTGACTTGTACTAGTTGAAGAAAACATTTAAACCATTTAATGTCATTTCAGAATTTTTATTGGAATACTTGTACAAATTAAAAAGAATGGCATATACTTGATGATGACTTTGTACGAAATCGCCACTTGTTTCTCCAAGCCCTACTCGCCCCTTATACACTGTGCAGTATGGTAGGCTGCGATGGTATTCCCTACTGAATTGTCATCTTGACATGTTTGACAGTAGGTCATGTTTAGATGTGAGTGACCACTTGAGGGATATTTATTTATATCCAACATAATTGCAAATCCCTTCTGTTATCTAGCATTCATTTTGCATCAGCTTGTCTGCCAGAGATACTGTGCCAATTTGTCATGGAAGTCCTGAGTGCTGTATTCTGCCCTATGCTGTGAACACCCTCCATTCACAGTAGAATTCTAGATGATCTCTGTGCTTTCCCATCACCTTCCCTTGCAAATTGTGCTAAAAAGCATAATTACTTGAAACTGCTTGTACAATGCAAAGGAAGATCATTTGTCATAGCAAGCACTACTACTAATGTTTGTATTACATGACAAGCTATGGAGGGTTGTCTGGTCTTGTGAACATGGACCACTTCCATCAGGGTGACTTGTTTATCAGGCTTGTTCCATAGCTTGCTGTAGGAGTTGTTCAACCTGTGATACAATTATCAGTGCATTTGTCACAAAATGCTGGGTAGCCCTGTCAAAAATCCCCATCTTGGAAAGGAAGTGTGAGCACACCAAGAACACTCAGATTCATCTAAAAAAAAAAACCCCTGGAGGTTCTTGTTATAAAGACGGTGATCTTTCACAAGTAAAAATCATTCCCAGCTTTCCTTTCCCTTTGCAACCTTCCTTTTGATAGCTGTCAGGAAAAAGCAAGATAAAAATAAACCTCTCTACAGCCTCTTGAGCTCAAAACTTTTTGAAAGGGGAGGTGGCAAACCAGTGGTAGCCCCTTCAATGTGCCTCTTGGGCAGTTTGGAGGACCTGTCAAGTTGGAGATCATGTAAGGTGATCTCTGGAAAGAAAAAGGGGGAAAGCTACTGTGAACAAAAAAGGATTCATGATTGTGGTGAGGGGAGAAGACAAGTGGCTTTAGCTGCTGAGTTCATTGAGATACATGTTGGAGGACTAAGGGAGGACAACTCAGTGAGCTCAAACCTTTGTTGAATGCCCTGTGGGTTGTTCAGTAGACAACCAACTCAGTGTTGATTATTCATAGGCTGGGCTAGCATGGCATGTGAAGCAACCCATTCTCTCAGGAATCCTTGCTAAGTATTCTAAGAAAAGCAAAGCAAGCCTGATCATAGTCAGAAAGCCATATTGATAGAAAATATCTATTTTTCAGATGCTGAATGCTATGGATTCAAAGATTAGATCTCTGGAACAGAGAATAGTGGAACTGTCTGAAGCTAATAAGCTTGCCGCAAATAGCAGTGTATTTACGCAGAGGAACATGTAAGTATAAGAACTGCTATTAAGCTGTCTTTTGGTTTACAGCATTCTGTAGAAGTTTAGAATGTGTGTTACTCATAATAAAACAACTCCCTTTTTGAGCATTTCATGAAATCTATGTGTTTTAGCTTCAAGTAGAGAAACCATAGCTCTTTCTTGATGTTACAGGCTTCAAAATAGTCCTGAGGCTTTTAGTTACATAGAAGGAGAGAAGAAAACAAAGATGAGGCTACTATTGCCATGTGGGACCCATGCCTGTGTAATAGTTTCTCATTACTTAGTCAAGTTTATGGGTGCATTCCCACAGCCAGTTTTCATTGTGGTTGAAGAGTATGCTGCTCTTGGTTTATTCAAGATTAGCAATTAATGAGTGTAACCCAGAGAGCTTTGGTGTTTGGGTGGTATATAAATGTAATAAATAAAATTTCTTGAGAGCCAGTGTGGTGTAGTGGTTAAGAGTGTTGGTCTCCTAGCTCTTGTTGCTACTCAGCTGTGGAGCCCACTGGGTGACTTTGGGCTAGTCCGAGACTCTCAGCCCAACCTACCGCACAGGTTGTTATTGTGGGGGTAAGATTGAGAGCAGGAGAAGGAGAATATGTAAGCTGCTTTGAGTTTGCTGTAAGAAAAGAGTAGGATATAAATCTATTTAATAATAAAAGAGAAGAAATAGTGATGAGTGTGTTTCTTCTTATCTTGGGTTTGTTGACCAGTTGTTAGCAAACCCTGGTTTAAGGGTACTGCCTACTTAAGCCATAGGGAAGAGGTACCATGTGCCCCCAGGGGCCAAATTAGCTTTGAAGAAACTTTTCCCATGGTGCGCAGGATCACTGGCAAATGGAGCAGAGCCAAAGGCTGAGGTGATGGGCCAAACATATAAAAAATGCCAGCATGCTGTAGCTTAAAGCTGTTACTGCTAGTACCTGTGCCTTTAGAGAGGGTAGAACTGCAGAGAAAAAGCTGAGAAAACTTAGTGATTGGACAGAAGTGGGGAGGGGAACAAGTTTGAAGATCTGGGGAACTGTGATGGGCTGGATTTGGCCCCAGGGCCTGAGGTTCCCCACTCCAGTCTTAAGCTGCCGTTATACTCGTATATGCACTCTCAGCATCCTGCTATCGGGCCTTCTGAAAGTCATGCTTTGCAATCCCCAGTTCTTGCTGAGGAGAGGCAAAAAGAAGTATGTTCATCCTTAAGAGCAGTGAGAAGAGGGCAAGCTCTGTTCTTTAGGACAGAACAAGAAGAGGCACGACATGTTCTGGTAGCGCTATGTAGCCCCTTCTCCAGATGCCTGGTTGTGGAACCAGCCAATTTTCTCCAGGCAGATGATCTGATTTTTCTGCCAGTCAAGAGGACTCAGCTGGCTGGCAGCGCTGTTCTCTTTCAGCAGCCCAATGACTAATGTGCTCTTTCTTAATTTTTATACAAGCTTTCTGATGAGCATTGAGGGGATGGGTGCACCGCATTTCATGCCTGCGTGGCTTCTGGTACAGGGAGGACGGTTCATTTTGTTTCCAAAGGAAAGAGCAGGGCTTCAGGCTGGTATGCATCTTCCCCCACTTTTTAGGAAAGCCCAAGAAGAAATGATTTCTGAGCTCAGACAGCAGAAGTTTTATCTGGAAACACAAGCTGGGAAGCTGGAAGCCCACAACAATAAGCTGGAGGAACAGCTGGACAAAATCAGCCATCAGGACCACACTGACAAGACACGTCTGTTGGAGTTGGAAACCAGATTGCGAGAGGTAAAAATGGGCCTTAATGCTTGTCCTGTAAGGCTGAGGCTGAAGTTAGTATGTACTAGATACTTAATTAGCAGCAGCATTGCTCAGAGATTCTCTAGCATTTGTTGTGCTGCCTTCCAAGTGTGTGAAAGTCCTTAAAGGGGATATGTACAAGTTTAGTAGGAAACTACCCCTGTCATGGGGAAAAACTGCGAGAGGTGGGCGGCTTGAATTGATGCAGTCAGAACACCTTGGATGGTGTTCATTTTTTGCTGCTGTGCTTTTGGCCAAAGTGTTGCATTAATATGGAGGAGTGATTAGCTTGTAAACAGAATTCAGAGAATAACCGAATATACCAAGTATGCCTTTTTCTATATCAAGGTTAAAATCCAACATAAGTGCTTTTTTTGAGTAGACCCATTGAAATGAACGGGGCAAAATTAATCATGACTGTTTTAAATTCCATTCTCTGAAGGAGACAATATTATGTGCTGATAGGGGACAAGTGGAAACTGATGTTCATCTGCATTTGGACAGAGCGCAATATTTGGAGGGGTGGTTCCTCCTGGGGCAATGGCCTGCAAGGAAGTGGAGGCCAGTGAAAGGATGAGCGTATGTGTAATGGAAGCAGAAGCAGAAGCATGCATTTAGGTGTATTTGAGCAGTCCGTGCCAACCCAGCAATGTGGTCTTGCACTGTGGTAGAATTTCAGAAGGACACTCTGCTGAATGCTGAACCGTGAGCAGCAAAAGTGTTAAAGCAAGGATGGGCAACTTGAGGCCTGCCAGATGCCTTGGTCTGCGGCTGCCCTGAGCCTTAGCCAACATAGCCCATGCTGAGGGGTGCTGGAAGCTGATGGCCAAAGCACTCGGAGGACCTCAAGCTGCCCACCCCTGCTTGAAAGACTGACAGGTTTATTATGGGTTATGCTTTGGAAGGCCTGGACTCCTCATCGGATTCTTGAAGTATGATTCTCATTTGGCGGTACACATGAATGTACTGGACAAAAAGCTGTTCAAAGTGGATTCAAACAGCAGTGGTTGTATTCAGGTTTCCATGGTCTATTGAGGCAGGAAAATCCCCATCTCCCCTAGGCTTCCTGCTTCTCCTGTAGTATGACCATGAGGAAGAGTGTGGAACTCTTGCATCCATATTTGATTAACCACAGCTTGTTGTCTGGGATCATCCAAACCTGACAAGCTGTTATTAATCTTAACTATGGTTTGGAATAGACTTATTTCAAACCAAGATGTATGAAGCTGGCTAGTTTCAACAAACTATATTTAATCTTAATCACAGCTTAGGGTTCAGAAAATGTATTAAAATGCAGTTAATAAAAATTGAAGCAAAAGCTTCTGTTCTCACAGTCACACTAGCAGAGCTGAGGGAGTCTAGGAACTTTGTGGGAGGCTAGGCTTGCCCTGTCATGATAAACCATGTTTTACTATATTGTCTGATCACAGGCACTCAACAGCAAGAAGTAAAGCATGTGTCAGCTGAATTGGAGCTCACCTGTATGCAAAACAAGTATAGCAACCATTCACAAAAGTGTAGGCTTCTAATAAAACAATCATTTTAGCACTGTGAAGGGATTAAAAACCTGTAATGGGAAGCAATCACCTGTGCTCAGACCAAAGCAAACAACATCATTTTATTTCAGCTAGTTCCAACTGGAGTATTCCTCTGGCAATTCTGTTTGAGAATGGCAACTTGCAGGCCTGAAGCAACATATCCAGGGAGACGGATATATCCTCTTCCTGCTCCTACAGTTCTTATTTTGGGTAAAAACTGGAAGATGTATCCTACATAAATAACAGAAGCCTTAAGCGTGCACTCAGTCAGTTCATAGGTACCAATAATCTATTTAAACTCTTCAGGTTAGCCTTGAACATGAAGAACAAAAATTGGAATTGAAGCGGCAGCTCACAGAATTACAGCTCACCCTCCAGGAGAGGGAATCTCAGATTTCAGGGTTGCAGGCTGCCCGGGCAGCCCTGGAAAGTCAGCTCCGGGAGGCCAAAACAGAGCTAGAAGAGACTACAGCTGAGGCAGAGGAGGAAATCCAGGCTCTGACGGTAAGCTTGAGAATTCTGTGCTGGTATACAGAGCTTGCAGCATGCACTGCACTGGGTCAGTTTGGAAACTGCCGTATGGAAGTGTCTCTTGGGTTGACGATTACGATCTGCAGTTGGCTTTGCTTGACTGTGCCTGCTTTGCTTGATCGTGTCTTTGGTGTAAACGTCCATTGAAAATGTGCTTCTATGAAACTTAGGTTTTTGTGATACGGGTAGCAGGCCACAGTAGATGTGATAACTTTTCTTTGTCTGGATTTTCAAGCAGTAAAAATATGCCTGAGTAGGGGAACTTTCGAGCAGAAAGCAGCCACTACTTCAGGTGGTACATTCAGAAAGCTTGAAACTGGAAGGCAATCCACTTGCCAGACTTCCTCCAAGTCACATTTTCACATGCAGAAAAGGACTCCTGACTGTAGTTCAAAAATGTAGACGGTCACATGGCTTCCACAAAAACTGACTCATTTGGTGTCTTCAGAGTGCTCCTTTTGGTCACCAATTGTCTACTTTCTACCTGTTTTTCTGGAAAAGGTGCACAAGTAAGTCCATCTTGAGCAGAGATGTAACTCATGTCAGTTTTTGTTTGGAAACAATCCAGCCCAAAAGACTTCCACAGGCATGTCTTTTTTACAGGAAAAAGTTCTGTTGGTGAATGATTTTTTGAAAGAGGTGACTCAGCATGAAAAAGTGCTTTGTTCTAAAGCAGAAGTGAGCACTGTACAGGCCATGGTCTCTGCAGGGCCCTTGTGGGTCCATGGTAAAGAAGGAACATTTTTTAAAAGAGTGCCATCAAGAGCAGTCATTTGAATGTTCCACACCTTGGGGTGCCATTTATTTATTTTAAAATTCATTTATGTTTATTTGGGAGGGAATGTGGACCAAGGGAGAGGATCCAGAAGATAAAAATGGAACATAGGATCTCCCAGAATTTTCCACTCCTGTTCTAATGGGTCCAGCAAAAGAAGCATAATTCCTTTGTGACTTCAGGAACTGGAATGAGATCAGTTCCAAAATGAAAAGGACGGGAGACATGAGTGTTCAAACTCCTTATAGCAAGAGGTGTCTGCTGCTGTCAGTTCAGTAGGCTTCCTGCCTGTTTCCATGTTTTGATTTCATGTTTTGATTTCAGAATATAAGCTGGTATTAAGCTCAATCTGTTGTCTTAACTTAGATTCTCAAATGCCATATGCCCTAGTGCCTTTTGTGATTTCTTTGGGATTACACTGACAAATTTATCTCTGGCGCTAAAATATCCTGGTTAATTGCAGAGGCGAGAGGACATGATCCATCAGTCTCAGACCAGCTTGTAACCTATTGGTTCCCTGAAAGAGAAGTATCTCTGACCATCTCCATATTGATTACTTTTGAAAGAACCCAACACAGGACTTTCCAGATAAAGCACACTATAGAGGTCAATGGGGGGGTTTTTTGTGAAATGTCACCAACATTCTGTCCATATGCCCAGTGGTTGGATTTGTCTATCAAAGAGATTGGCTGCAGGTAACTAACTTTTAGTTTTTCAGAACCATAATCCTGAGATGCAGGTTCCTGTGACACAGAAGTACTATGATTTGTATGGGCGGGGAGTGTTCTTTTTAATGCCATACTTTTAAACTTCTGTGCTGCCTGATTTAATTTTAAAATCTTAGTAAAATGTTGCCTTTAAACTTGTTCCCTAACAAAGCTCCCAGTTTTATATCTTGTGTGTGGTGAGTAACTCCTTCTTTAAGGTATTGATTCTTTCTGTGTCTCTGAACTGAAACTAAATGCATATTATATACTACTGATATACTTTACAAATATCATTTTTGCAAAGATATGTTCTGAGAAGTTCAATTTCCACTTCAAGCTTTGCCAAACTTGTGGGTGGTAGAAATGGTTTATTCTTGCTTTGGTTGCCAGCTGTCCCTTACTGTAACCATAATTTTCAGTGGTAGTTGTATCCTGATAGGGTGGAAGTGGGCGTGTGTCTCAGTGGAAGCTAATGAAAGGAACAATGTTTGCCTTTCATTAGGGGATTTTCCGCAGTCGCAGTTCCTTGGGGACTGAAGCATTTGGCAGAAGACTTGTTCATGTTGTGCTTGCGTTACTGGTATCCTGGAGAAGAGAAGCCTATTGTGTTTCATGTTCTAAGGTGGTGCACGAGCTGAGCGCTACCCCACTGTGCAAGAATGCAGTGTACAACTAATGGATGTTATGGTCTATCCCCTGGGCAGCCAACCAGAGGCATGGGTGCCATAAGCATGGCAGGACTTTGGCATTCTGCACTGAAGTGTGAAGGTTCATGGGTCTAGTGTGAGTTTCACAGAAGCACTTGCATTGCTGCACTCGGCAATGGGATTGTTTAAGATCCCAACATTAACTAGAACACGTACTTGTTTTGTCTTCTCCATTTATTGTGCCTGAGACTCAGGACAATCCCTGCCAGCCAAAGCAGAGAACATTGGTTTCGTTGGATGAAACCACTTCAGCCGAGTCTGAGGTATAATGCTTCACATGAAGTCAGCAATGCTGTGAGAGAGAGGCTTCTAGGTCTCCTTAGAAAATGCCCATAAATTAGGTCTGAATGTCTGCCATTCTCTCTCATGCTGTGCTTACTTTCTGGCTTAGTGGAAATGAGGCAAAATTATCCCCAGGCAAGGGTGGGTAGGAGCTGCCCATGTGCAGAGTGTGCTCCAGAGTGGGGTCATCTCCTGTGTTCAGCTTCTGACATATGTGCTGCAACGGTTGGTCACTGCTTCTCTGCCTGATCCTCGTCTCAATCTCTGTTTGCTCACAACAACAGTGGTCTTTCAGATATGTGGAGACTTTGGTACACCTGACCTCTAAGTTATTGGGACAGGGGTGTGCTTTATGAGAATGTTTTATGTGGTGCTAATACAGTACGTATAAGATCGGTACTACTTTGAAGAGCTGCTGTCAAGATTTAGCTGCTCCTAAGACTTGAGATAGCAGGGTTCTTGATTGAACTTCTTTCAATTGATTGTTGGAAGAAGCAATTCATTTTCTAGTCCATCATCTCCAGTGTTGGCTTTTCCTTTGGGAGTGCTAAGCAGATGGCTTGACTAAAGATGCAGTGTCCAACAAGCAGTAAATGATCCATGAGACTTTCTGCTGCAACCTAAGACTAATGGGAGAGGTCCTAGCTGCGGGAAGATGCTCTTTGTCTTTGTCATGCTTTGCTCGTAGAGCAAGTGAAACGGTGCATGCCTATTGTTGCAATTGCCTTAACATTGAAATGCTTCATGTCTTTGAATGTGTTAGACTTCCCTTATCCAAAGAAATCATTATTTGGGGTTGTTTTGCTCTGTTCTTTGCTCCTTGGGGAAGGGTCAGACTGCTAGGAAAGCTTGTGGCGGAAGTGCTTTGGGAAGCTTGCCTGATAGCTCACTGTAGGCTTTTCTATCTAATTGTTTTTGTTTGTGAAAGATATAATACATGTGCCAGATTTTATTTATTTTTTAAAGGTCACATGAAGCATTAGTTCAGATGTGAAAATAAATACGTAAAGCAAACAATTTGAAGATCCTTCAAAGAGAATATAAATGGCAACTACTTTCTGGAGGTCACGTAAAAGGACGTGTTGTGTTTGTGTATTTTGCCATGAAGCAGTGCATACAATGGTGCGTTTAGTTCCAGTAGCTAAGAACTTGGAAGCATGAGGATACCTTAAAGACAACGCAACATCTGGTTCTTTGGTCCGGATAGTGCTCACAGGCTGCAGCATCTGCCTTCTAAACTTTGCTTGCTGGTGGATTGTTCTGCAGTTCATTTAGAAACAGCTGTTGGATTCTAAATCTAATGTATGAAAAAATTGATGATCAACTTCTTACCTCCTTTAGGCACATAGAGATGAAATCCAGCGTAAATTTGAAGCCCTTCGTAATAGCTGCACAGTGAGTATTAAATACAGATCATTGAATTATTTTGAAATTAAGGATGAGGAAGGAAACAATTTTTTTTTAATTTTGCTCCTTGAAGACAAGGGTTTGTGACACAGGCGTTTGCCTTCAATGAGTTAACAGGACAAGGACTGATTGGATTGCTTCTTTAGATCTCAGGTAAATCTCAGCTTAGAGGTTTTAACCTGACTTTAAAATTCATAGTGTTTCTCAAGTTTTTGAAGAAGTCAATCTGAAAATCTCATTGCAGTGCAGCTAATAAGAATGGTGGAGCAGCTGCAACAAATGATGTATATAAAATATTTTCCCCTTCCAGGTGGAGGGAAATAGCTTTCTAGGGTAGAAAGGCAATAGATGGCATCTTTCCAGATTCAAATGTCCCTAATATGTCAACTGATAACAAAAGCTTTGCAGGCTACTGTAGCATCAGCCTTTCATCCTTACGTAGGAGAAAGCACACACACAGCATTGTTTGAAGTGCAGCACAACTGTGCATTTGCTGCAAATGCATAGTTTGGGAAACTGCTTCATAGGTGGGTTTTCCTTTACAGAGTTTCCCTTTGTATGAAAAATGTAGTAAAAGAAGCAGTCCTAAAGTTTCCCAAGAGATCACGCATGCAAACCCGTATTTCTAATTCCTTTTCCCCACCATCAGCATTTTAGTGAGCCTTTTAAGTTCTTCTTAATGTCGTTCAAGATTCTACTTTCCACGTGCATGCTTATACACAAAAACACACGCAGGACAGGTGGTTTGCCCAATGAGGGGAGCATATTAGTATGTAAAATAAATGCTTTGTCCAAATTCATATTTTTCTACTCTTCTGGCTTTTGAAGATGGAAAGCATTTGAGTACAGAAAAATGGCTTTGGGCTGAGCACCCTTTATGACAGAGATGATATTATTATTATGCCAACAGTAATAATAATACTTTAAAGCCTCCCTGTAGTCTCATGATGGGATAGTACCAAACAGCTTTCAGAAGAGGAATTGATTACAGAAACTTTTCCTCTTTTTTCAGCTTGCTGCTTCATGCCCTGGGCTTTATCCCAGAGATGAGTGCATGCCAAAGACGGAAAGATCTCATTTGAGTCATCATTTAGCATGGCAGAAAGAAGTGTTACAAAGCTTTTGGCTCCAAAAATCTCTTTGCTAGCTTGTGTGTAAATCATTAATGGTTCTTGAAGTTCACAAGAGCTTGGTAAATGCTGATTTACACATGCACGGCTTGATGACTACAATATTGGGTTTGATTTCCATGTATGGAAGGGAGCCATCACAGATAAAATGGTCATTTTGACATCTCACCTCAAATGCAATGCTTTTCAATTCACCCATTCAACTACCTGTTGTCTACTGTGCGTTTCAGGTGTAGAGAAATCAGGCAGTCTGCATGCATGTATGAAACAGCTCACCAACTGGCTTTATTTTCTGTTAAATGGGGAAGCCTCGCACGGTGAGGTTCTCTGTGATGTCAAGGAGTTTGATAGGAGAGCTGACGTGAGCCAAAGGATGATTGGAAACGACATAGTTTTTTTGTGGATCTGGACCTGATCCACAGGAGCCAGAGGAGTTAGGCAAAGAATGGGGAAGCTGAAGCAACTGGTCCAGAATTGCTGCGTCGACTCCTGAGGGAGAGCGCAGAGGCCTGATTTGCAGGGAACAATTATGTGTTAAATCACTATAGTTAGTTGGGAACTCTTGCCTGTTCTCCTCTTCTTCTTTGCATCTGCTTTCATAAACAACCCAGGAATGCCTTGTTCTTGGGTTATTTGAAGTAACATGTGAACCCAGATCTCTGTTGTTGAAGGACAAACAACTTAAGTTTTAAACCCTGTGCTGTGTTGTTTGGTTAAAACATATGGGCGTTTGATCTTCAGCAGATGGGGCTTCACTGGATTTTTTTCTGAGAGCAGTTACAACACAGAAGTGATAAATATGCGAGACACACTCCATAGCTCTACACGGTGGGAGAGGTCACAAACAGGGCTAGAAAGCTTTGGAGCCAAAGCTGTGCTACTGTTTTTCCCCTTCCCTCGTTTTATGGAAGGGTGTGCAACCTGAGTCCCACTGTCTATTCTCAAAAACCCTCTGTTCCCACCTCTGGCAAGGATGATTTGCCCTCTCAGCAGACCCTTGCGAAGGGAAATGAAGGGAGGGAAAGAGGTGTCAGAAAGAAAGAGAAGAAAAAGAGTAGAAAGGAGCGTGAATGATCTATTTCTTTGTAATTGAGCTTTTTTCTTGCCTTCCCACTTCTGCACATCTGCAGCTACTCTGAAAAGGGAACTCTGTTCCTTGGCCAAAAAATCCTAGGAGAGGAAATAAGGAAACAAAAAGGAAAGGCTGCTGGAAGAAATTGGGCATTTTCCTTAATGTATGTGATTCTCTAGCAAGCTGTGCACCACAGAACAGCTGCTAGTGGAGGCATTGTTTCTGTGATTTCTCAAGAAGCCACCCTTCTGTGTTTGTCCCAAGATCTCCAAGTTGTTTGAGAAGGCATCTTGTGGTTTCTGTTGAGCCACTAGGTCATGACTTTCATGGGACAGGAAAGAAGGCTCACCTTCTTCTCAAGGTGCTGGAGTGGCCATTCCCCTTGGGAAGATCTTCTCCTACCCCGCAGCTCCCCCAACTCCACCTATGCTTTTTGATCCTGCTTCTTCTATGGTGCTGCAGTATGTGGTTCATTTTCCGCACATGTTGCTTCTTGTGGGACCCTGGCAGGAAGCAAGCTTCTCTCTTGGCGCATGCTCGATCAGCACAGAACTCCACTGCCTGGGATTGCTTCAGCAGACATGCATGTTTATTTGGCAAATGGAATTCAGAACTTCACACACACACCCCTCCCTCCCTTTAATGAAGGAGGTTTATGGGTCACAGGGGCATCTTGAGCTGAGCTGTTTTTCACAGTGTGCAGGGTTTTTATTTATTTGAACCCAGAACCAAGTATGTAACCCTGCTAAGCAGCTTGGTATTTTGTCCATGAATGACCTGCTGCGTTAGTTCGGTAACAGGATGGAAGCATATGTGTGATGCTTGAGAATGCAAATATGGAAAGCTAAGCGTTCTCATCCACCTGGCTCAAATTCTCGTTTCTTCAAGTCTGTCTTTGCTTTTGAAACATGATCATTTCAACTATGCAAGCAGTTGCTTGTCTGGGTTCAGAGCAGTTAAAAGAAAAGTGTGTGTGTGTGTGTGTGTGTGTGTGTGTGTTTCCCTCGGAAGTTTAAACATCACCTTTTCATTAGATCATCACTGTTTTATTTGCTATGCCTAAACCTTTGGTGTATTGATACTGGGGACTTTGTTTTCAGTCCCTGCTGCGATGTTTCTTGACAGAGGAGGTAGCACCATGCAGTTATTTCCCTAACTGAAAAATGATGATAACATTCCAAAAGTGTTTGGTGCTGATTAAGGATGTATGAATCATGCAACCATATTGTACTGTGTGTATATATAGTGACCATAATGCATTAAGACTTCTCAGCTATGCATTTATCACATCTGCAAGAATCTGTCTGCCGTGTGATGCCTGTTACCCAGATACTGGGGGCATGAAGGTGTTTCCTCCCTGAGTTACAAAGAAATAACCCTTTTCACAGTGTGTTCGGGGCCCAGGCACTGGTCTGTTGGTCCACTTCTGCTTTGCATGGTTTGTCTTGTGGGAAAAGCAGGGTCAATATTCCAAGCAAAGCTATTGCCTTTTTGTTCCACTCTTCAGTCTAGTGCATTTCAGTTGTATTACAGCCTCTTAGACCTTTCACACCTTTTTGCTAGAGATGGGAGAAAGGCATAAATAAGGCAGCATCTCAGCTGGGGAACTGTAAACAACTTAGCCTTGCCTTTCAAATATACGTTCAGGGTTCACATGCTTTGGATGGCTGGTAGAGTTGCTGTGAAGTAAAATTAAAGACTGTCTCGATGGGGATATTGCTCTATTTTGCAGTTTCCATGGAAAAATCTGTGCATGTTCTGATGCTGCTTTATAAGGCTTCCTTGTACATTGATGTGGCCTTCTACTTGCCCACAAAATACACTGGTTCACTGCCCACATTTATCATCGTTTTTGCCTTAAGAAAGAGCAGAATTTCTGTGCGTCTTTCTTGCCTAGGTAATTTTAACTTGTCACAGGTAAGCAGTTATTAGCAAGGCTGTGATGTATAAGTATTGTAAATATATCATGTTCACATAGACTGGGTTATGGAAGATGATGGAGTTAGCAACCTACCTTTTTGTAATGCTGTGCAAGGACTGACCTCTCCAAGCCTACAGCCTTACTCTGTAATGTTTAAATTATCTGTAAAATGAACCATCTGCTTCCCCACCCAGGCCAGTAGACAGTGAAGGTTTGGGCAGAATCTCAGAGTGCGACAGCATCTTTGCTTTGCTGTTCATATGTCTGAAGATACTGCTTTTCCAAATTGCTCCAAATAGGATTGCATTTTGAGAGAGGACTCAACTGAAGTGTAATTTCCCATAAAGTGGGTGCTGTGATTTACCCCCTAAAGATCTAAGGAGTCATTGGCCAAGACCCAGAGAAGTACTGAACGCATGCCCAAGGAGTTGATATTCCATTGTTGGGGAGCAGACCCATTTACAGTCAGTGTTTTGAACTGCTCTACCTGCTCTCTTTAATTCCAGAACTGGTGCTGTGTTGGTTTTGGGTGATTGTTGTTCATGATGTATACATCCAAAGCTCTCTTGGATGTGCCAAAATAGTCATAGTTCTTTGGTTCATGAACTGTCATGTTTAAAACAATAAATAACCTTGGAATATTGCCTTAGAAAGAATTGATAACATACTGTTATTAAGCTTGTTTCCTTCAGTTTGGGAGCAAATAATACAGTAATGTAGCTACGGTACCAGAAACTGTCTTCCCACATTTCTTGGACTTTCTGTGCAGTTGTCATAGATCGTTCTTATTTTAAAACTATATAAATGCCCTTTTTGCAAGCGTTCAAGGAGATGTATGGATAAAAGTGATAAAAAGCTAAAGAGCTTAAATCTCAAATCCATAAAACAACACCAATGAAATAGGTAGGAAAGGAAGCCGCACAGCTACTCAACATACTAAGCAGTCCAAACGTGGAGTGAACTGGCAATTGTATATGGAACCTTCAAAACTTAGAGGGGAAGACATTCCCTTAATATTAACTATGCAGAACCGTTGATTACACGAAAGAGTGGAAGGCTCGATATAGTGTCTTGCTGTTTTGGTTTTTGCCTTTAATGAGAACTGAATTATGAGGATAAACTCACTTCAGATCTTCTGCTCCCTCCTTGAATGCGTTAAGCAAAGTTGGAAACTACCGTGTTCTTTCCATTCTGTAACTAGACCTTGCTTTGTTTGGTTAGTGAGACAATAATTCTTGTAACGGACTGTTTTTCTGCTTCGTTGTTCACCATATTCCAGGCTTCATTCCAGGCATCTTCTGTCTGCATGTCTTCTCTTACATTACAATTGCTTGACAATGGGTAGTTTCCTGCCGAGAGGAAATATGCACATGGACAACTGTGTTTAATAATCTGTCATTAATCATCTTGCCTGCAGAGGGTTGGAGGGCATGTTGGTGGGCCTGGATTTCTTACCAAAACTTCTGCTGTGCTCCATCAGGGCAAAGGACTGTTTATTAGTTGTCCCCAGCCGGGACCAGCCAGAGGCCCTGGGGGCGTTCATAAGCAAGCCTGAAGGGTGATGGTCCATCGCTGCTTTTGTCCCTGGCATCTGCTAATCAGACATGTACTGCCTCTGAATATGAGCAGTTCCATGTTATTTTTCATGATTTAATAGCTCTGTCAATGGTTATCTACATGTTCTAGTCGCCATGACAATATCCTTTGGCAATGAGATCCATAACTAATTATGCATTTGTATGAGAAAATACTTCTTTTTGTGTGCCCTTTGGTCTACTGCCTACTTTGCTAGAGAAAATGAGCTCTAGTGTGTCAAGAACAATTTTTTAAAGCATATTATGTTTATTTTTTAAATCCTTTTTAGCACGTATGAGAGAGAGCTTTCTGTACCAAGCACTTATACATAATGCTTAGCCCAAGCTATTTAGAAATTGAATAAAATCTGAGTTCCTGTCTTTTCCACTCTCACTTATGCTAATATATATTTATTTTTGGCTTGCAATTTTAGAACTGTTATACAACTCTCCAAACAAGTCAGTTCTAGCATAAATCTGCAACATCTAGGATGTTTCAGTCAACTGTTAGATTAACCTGTGCTCCACAGCAAATAAAAAGAAATACAGGTTGACATGGACCCTTGAAAGTAGCAATTAGCAAGCATTCTTCAGTTTGTTTTCAGAGTTAGGCAATTGGCGTCTCTCCAGTTTTGTGGCCCACACTTCCTGTCACTCCAGCCAATCACTGAGGGACAAGGGAGTTGTGGGCAAAACATCTAGAGGACAATTAGTGCCCATAATTGATAGATCAAAAACTGGTCTCTGGGGCGTTGTGACATCCCAGTTGAGATACCTCTGACACTCAGAGCCTTTGTCCCCGAGGAAGACCTTTAGTCAAAATACATCGGGCTGCTCTCATATAATAAATGGCCACTTTCCAGCATCAGCTTGTGGCATGCTTCTTTATTTGTAGTTCTTATATCCTCCCCCTTTTTTCTCAGCGACTTCCGCTAACTGCCCACTGGAGATACAGTTAGGTTTTTAAATATTTTATGTGGAATGAGAACATTTTTCCTCCAGCTCCTGAACTGTAGCTTCTTCGTTCCACAAGCACACCATTACAGTGGTGTGTTAAGCTGCATGTTAGAAAAATAGCTGTACCTTTCCGAACAGGGGCTCAGGTTTGTGGTAACATGGGACCTGCATTTTTTGTACTATCTAGGTCAGTCTTCCCCAGCCCGGTGGCCTCCGGAGGCATTTGGACTGCAACTGCCAGAATTCCCATCTAGCAGGGCCATTGACCGGGAATTCTGAGTGTTGCGGTCCAAATGTGTCTGGAAGGCACATGGCTGGGGAAGGCTGATCTAGGTTGTTTTTATCACTTACATTCTTTCACATTCTTAAACGAACACATAGAAAACGTTGCTGGTGGTACTGTTACAACCACCAGGGCAAGATCAGTGTGGTAGATTAGGTTTTAAAATGTATTCTTGCACTTACAGCAGGTGTCCAATAGTGTATATGGTGAGATTGTGTTACTAGACATTAGAAGTGAATTGTGAAGTTATGGTGGATTTCTACTTTTTTTAAAGTCACATATTTTTGTTTGACTGCACCCACATCCCTGGGTCTTCTGCCAAGTTTTCATCCAACAAGTGCAGTGGAGTTCAGAGTACTCCTTCAGGGTGAGATGTAGCAACAGCAGTGCTTTAAAGAATGGACGACACCTGTTTTCATAAAAGCATCACTGCCTAGCTCTTTTCAGCCATTTAATGCTTATACTGGCTTTCCCCCTATAATCTGTTTTGCTTGCAAACATTTCACATTGCTGTCCATATCTCTGCTGATGATAGAATCCAGTCTTTCCTAAATCAAAACATGTTTTTTCCTGCCAACTCACTGTTCTTTCTTCATTTTAAAAAAATACTCAAAGAATGGCATTTCAGATAATGCACCACTTTTCTAAGAGCTCTTAGGTAGACATGAAAATCCTGTCTTGAAAGCTACTGTGCCCTTTCCACAGATAGAGTAAGATTTAGAGAGAGAAATGAGTTTGCTTATGCCATTTATCACAGGGCGGCAGATCTGGCGAAGGGACCATTAAACTGCTGTCTCCTGGTTCATTGCTGTTCCTGCAGTGGTGTGTTGTAAAGCCCATGTCACAGCATGCAAAAAACATTGCAGTGCATTTCCCACCTGAAGATTTAATTAAGTTTAGCTCTTTTGAAGAAGCCAGCTCTTGAAGCTAAGCACCAAATTAGCTCCGACTGTATGAGTTAGGTAAGTGGCCATCCAATAAGGCTACATGATGAATTTCACAGTAACCCATTTGTTAGGTTTCTGGCTCAGGCTTTCAGAAGTTGTGAATGGTAACCGCTTATCTTAGATTCTCTGGCTTATTATTTTTATTTAGGTGATTACAGACTTGGAAGAACAGCTGAACCAGTTGAGTGAGGACAATGCTGAGCTGAACAATCAGAACTTCTTTCTGTCCAAGCAGTTAGATGAGGCATCAGGAGCAGGCGACGAGGTGGTCCAGTTGCGAAGCGAGGTTGACCATCTTCGTCGTGAGATCACGGAGCGAGAGATGCAGCTCACCAGTCAGAAACAGGTGAGTGTTTAGAGGTGACATTTTAAAGACCAGCTTTTGAGGACTTCTAACCAAATGTGTGGGGAGGGGGTAGACTGAGTATCTGTAAATACTCCTTCACTGAAGAATGAAAGAGCTTGATGAAGGACACTCTGACTGCTTGTCTTCTCTTCCTAGTTAGGGCACACAGTGCAGATCAGAGTGGGTCCCACCTGGACCACAGAAACCGAAAAATCTAAGAATGGCTTGCTTAGATTGGCCAAATATAGGGTCAGGCAGTGGAACAGACAGAATCCACTTAGACTACAGCCTATTGATATAGTTTCTCACCACACAAGGAAAAGCAATCAAGGGCAGCGTTTGGGTCCTTCCTTGCAATGCAATGGTAAGCACTTTCCTAGCCATCTCATCCTGCTTGACCTTTTCTGATGGTATTTTGTACTTTTTAAAAAACAGGTTGACTTGCAGAGTAGCTTATCCCTTTGACCGACCATTTTCTGAGTCTGTGCAAAGTTGTTAAGCAAACAGAAAGAAAACATGTTGAATGCTTTTTCAGCACACGGTATATTAAAAACTATCAGAAGCTACAGTAGCTTGTAAACCCTCCCCATTCATGCTGCCTGATTTACCTAATTATTTTTGCTGGGTACAGCTTGCTCCGATGATCAGACCCAATGGGAGGAGGTGACTGGAGTGGCCAACAAACCACCCAGAACCCATGACTTATTCTTTGATTAGTGGGTGATTTGCTAAGTCACCAGCCAACAACCAACATTTGCCAGGTTCAGATATAATTACAAGCTGTAACAGGCAAGGGGTAAGGTAGGTAAATCAGGCAGCACTTACTGACATGTACAGGGATGGTTAAAAGACCACTATGTTAAACTGCTCATCTTTTGTCAGAGGCCAGTCTTCTGCCTCCTTTCTCCTAAGCAGATAGACAAGAGGCTTCTAGCCACAGTCCTTATTATATGTTAAAGTGGACCAGCCAAGCTGGCTTGGTGATACAAAAGGAGTGTTGCAGAGATGAAAAGACAGCCATCAAATCAGGAAGTCGCCTAATTGGGGAATACTGCTCTTTCCAGGAAGCTGATTCCCAATGAAATCCCCCTCCCCAGTTCCCAAACAGAGTTGATTCCGCTTTCAGGGGGGTTCCTGCTGCTTGTGGGCCAGAGGGTGGGAACACCGGACACTGCTCAATTGACCAGCTCTCTTGATCTGATGATGGAGAATGGGACCGCTTATGTTGTGTCCCTCCCCCCTCTGACCTTGCTTGTTCAGCAGCGTCTACTTAGCAAACAGCCTAGTCAGGCTGATTCATTATGCGCCGCTCCACTCAGTTGCCTCTCCTGCCTTGGCCAGTTGTGGTCCAAAGGCAATGGTGGGAACATGCTCTCTAGGCCTGCGGATCAGTATCCATGTAGCCCAGCATTCTGCTTTCAGCAGTGCCATTGGCTGGGTGGTCAGCCATGTTCTTGATGAAGAGCATTCCTTGCAATTTCTCTCCAGCAGCTGGTATCCAAGGTAGCACTCCCTCTTTGCAGGTGCATTCATTTATGAATCTGTCCAGATCTTTTCTGCTTTTAAATCCACAAATTTTAGTGACTCTCAATGTTTAATTATAGGCTTTATAAAGAAAAAATACTTCTTCCATCAGCTCTGAATCTATTGTTAGTCCATATCATTGTGCAAAGCAGACTTTGAAAGAGAGAATAATGAGATCCATTTCTTTGGCCACTTGCGCCCACCCATTTGTAATTTTACAAATCTCAGCCATGTATTCCTCACATTTCACATTTCAATGCAAACTTGAAACCTTTCCATGTAAAGGTTATGGATTATTTTAGTTGCCTTCGTTCTGTACATTTTTCAGCAAAACTGATGTGAAACAAAAGTGATACTGAAGAGCTGTGATTTCATTTGCAACCATTTTTTTAAAACCTGAAGGCATCCATGGGGGTGCGGAGTTTTTGGCAACTGATTCAGAAGCACAGGGGGAATAGGGAGTATGAAACCTCCTCCCAACACCATTGTCTCAGTCTAAATCTTCCATGTCCTTTCAAAGGCTGTTATTAGACCACCAAGTATATTTTCATGCCTGTTTCTTTTCTGCCCCAGGTAATAATTCAGGAAGAGGGTTGTTTGAGAGATGGGAACATTATTGAGGAAAACACTCCCCTATATCATAATCAGAACCTTGTGCATCCGTGTGTGTGCATGCATGCATGTTCATTCGGGAATCCAGTTTGGATCCAGTGTTTCAGCGGCAAGCCTCGTTGGCCTCAGTTTGGTCCCATGTGGACAGAGTCTGGCCTAGGACTCATGCAGCACTCTGACAGCCACAGATTGCGGAGGAGGAGTCTGCGACTGGGAAATAAACTTGCCACAAATGGACTTCATGTTGAGGGGCTCCCAGTAAACTTTAAAGGAATAGCTGAGTTTGCAGAGGCAAGTTTGGAAAGCATTGCCTTATGCCACATGGGTTGATACTTGTGATTGTAAGTAGAAGTACTCTGTTCTTTTACTAGATTTCTGTGGCATGTTTTAATTAAAAATAGATGGCTTTCACAAATGTCATAAATATCAGTCAAAACAAACAGCAGCCCACAAACTGTTGAATGGAGTGTTGAAGTACTACATTAAACATTGAACAAAGAAACCTCCCCAGAGAGTGGAAGCCTGGCAAAAGAAGAAAGGTCTTGGCCTGGTGCCTAAAATGTATTAGCATAAGCTCCAGAGAAGCCTCCATGAGGATGGAATTCCACAATCAAGCACCATAATCAGGAAGGGCCTCCTCCCTAGCTGCCCCCCACTTGGCTTCAGACTGAATGGTCACCCGGAGGAGAGCCTCCAAAGAAGTGTATATGCAGGATCCCATCGGTCTAATACTTCTTCAAGAGAGAATGGTCCCCAGACGAGCTGCATGCTGGGCTGTTGCACTCTGCATCCTTTCATCTGCTGTGCCTGGGCTGCATCAGAGGACAGGGTTGAGAGAGGAAGAGACAGTTTAAAACAGGAGAAGTCTTAAGGTGGCCAGGACCTAATCCCAGTCTGTAAGCACCTGCTTTTGGAGTTGTGCCCAGAAACAGGCAGGAAGCCAGTGAAGCTCTTGAGGTCTCTGTGCCTTTCGAATTGGTTTCGAATTAGCTGCAGTTTCCAGGCAGTCTTCAAAGGAAGCTCCATGTGCAATGTGTTGCGGCAGCCTTGCTTGCAGGCTATCAGCATAGCTGGCCACGGCCAAACCGTCAGTCATTAGGAAGAGGTGTGGCTCATGCAAGATATTCCATGCCACAGAAGCCACTTGGGAGTCCGGTTACAAAGCTGGATCAACAAGCACCCCAATCTGCAAACCCACTCCTATCGTGTGAGTACAGCCTCATTTGAAACAAGCCACACAACAGCTCCCTGTCTAGACGGATGAAACATTTGCCAGCACTATCTCCATCCTCATGGCACTGAGCTTCAGTTTGTTGCCCTTACCCTGTGTGTTACTGACTACAGGCAGTGACAACACTGCCACTTCCTCACTGGAATCCGATGTATGGGAAAGAATGAGCTGATTGTGATCTGCATAATGGTGATATCTAATTCCAGAGTTCTGGATAAGGTCACTTAGTTTTATGGAGAAGGTTAAAAGCATAAGGAACAAGACAGAACCCTGTAAGATACAGAATTGCTAGAGGGCCAAGCAGTCCTATCACCCCCAACACCACCTCCTGGAATTGATCACAGCCACTGTATTCCCGACTCCCAAGCAAAAGAGCATATCCAGAAGGTTGATGGGTGCTAGAAAAACTTGAAGGATAATATTCCCCCTGTCCTCATCCCACAGGGCACAGACTTCTCTTCTTTGGCACAGGTCACAGCTGGCATAAGGTGGCGTTCTTCTGAGTCAGGGTGCAGCTACATCAGTCACTGCAGTGTTGACCAGCTAATTCAGGAATGGGCAGCTTGTGGTTGTCCAAAGGCTTTGGCCTACAACTCCCATCAGCCCTAGCCAGCAGTGAAGGGTTGTGAGAACTGTAGGCCAGAACCTCTGGAGGGCCTAATCTTGGAAGTGTTTTGCATGCTTAATGACGCCCCTTTTTATGTACCATATAGGTCTCTGCAGGCTCTGATAGCCCCAGTCCTTCCTCCCCCCTTGTTTTAGCTGCCTATGTGCCCAGGACTAGAGTGGGTATCACCAGCTGTGCTGGCTCTTGTATTACGCTTGGAGAATCTCAGTTACAAAGAAGTTTTCTTTTAGCACAGTACAATGGTGTTGAAGTGGAAACTGGAAAAATGATTAAAGGGTTTGTTTTTAGACAATGGAGGCCTTAAAGACAACCTGCACAATGCTGGAAGAGCAAGTGATGGACCTGGAGGCTTTGAATGATGAACTTCTAGAGAAGGAGCGTCAGTGGGAGGCGTGGAGAAATGTCTTAGGAGATGAGAAGACCCAGTTCGAATGCCGGGTTCGAGAACTACAGAGAATGTTAGATACGGAGAAACAAAGCAGGTATCAAAGTTATTTCTGTGTGCCTTGTGAGTGCGTACTATGACAAAGGTCTGTCCCAGAACAAGTGGGGACATCTGAGGGGTGCTTAATTTCAGGAACTGGGACGACGGTTTCAGTGCTTCCCTTCCTCTTCGTTAGATGGCCAGAACAATTGAGTTTCTGTCCTGACCAGCAGGGTTCAAAAGCTTCCTTTCTGTCTGGGAGGGGTTAAATAATGCTACTGCACCTGGCTTTGTTTCTGGATGCTCAGGTGGCATCTGCAGCCCACATGTCCTTTCAGCATTGTGACTGGTGCACTAGCCACATCTCTCTTTGGGAAAGTAGCCTCTTGCTCTCATCACTCATGCCTTAGCAAGGTGCGGTGTGAAGCTCCTTTCAGGTGAAAACCCAAACGACCAGATCCACACTGGTTTTTGGTCTGTTTGTGGGGCAGTTCAGACTGCTGGTTAAACCTGCAAAGCCCAAAGCAGTCTGGGGCCAGGATAACTGTAGATCCACCCCATATGGTACAATGCATAGAAACTGAGGCCTGGGGGATGAATCTGATCCTTCCCCTGATCTCCTTTTGTGCAGTTTCTCTCAGTTGAAAAGGTTTCCTAAGGCTTAGTTCCTGGCAGTAAGAGCTTTAGGCTAAGATATACTAGCATTTTTCAGATTTTTCTCTTGGTCCAGCCCAGCCACCATTGGAATGCAGCCCCAAGAACTTCTCCAAAATGTATTTAGGCCTTTGAAACAAGAGAGTTTTAACACCTCTGGTATAATGGTTAATGGAGGCCATACGCCAGCCTTCAGAGGTTGCGATGTGCAGGCCTCAGAATTTTTTCCCCAGAGAGGAGCACATGTGCCCTCACCTTTTTGACATAAAGCAAAATGATTTTCATTTAGGCAAGCTTTCGGGCAAGGCAAGAGGATGAAACTTCTACTGTTTTACATTGCCCCTGCATTTAGAGCTTATTTAGAGTGTTGCCCCTGCTTTGTGGTGTCTCTGCGGCTTCTGGCCACCGTGTCTTTTTGCTCCAGAGACCTTTCAGGAGTTCAGACATGGCAGCGCAGCTTCCTTCTGGGCGTGTGTGCATGTGTGTGAGGAGGGAATATTGGCTGCTAGCAGCAGGGAGGCCCACGAGGTGTTGATAACATATGCTATCCCTTCTTTCACAGCCCACAAGCTGGGGGAAGAGAAGGCTTTCAATCTATCCTCAGTTATAATAGAGATTGTGCTGCAGGATCCTGTTTGTTCTTATGTAGATGGATGACAGAACCTTTGATTATTTGCCAGCGGTCGTCTTCTGGAGTGCCATATGGTGCTAGGCTTTGATTCCAGATTCTCTCTGTGGCAACTTGGATCTCGGACAGCACAGAAGGTGTGGACGAGATGTCAGTGGTGTGGAGAGCATCGTAGAATGAAGGCATTTCTTGAAGCAGGAACTTTGGAAGTCTGAGACAGCTCCTTCCTATTGGTCCATCTGATATCTTGGCATCCTTGTAAGAAAGATCCCAGGAAAAGAATGTGAGCGTGTAAATTCATTGTTTTTAATGCAGGGTGCGAGCAGATCAGCGCATCACAGAATCACGCCAGGTGGTAGAGCTTGCAGTTAAAGAACATAAAGCAGAGATCTTGGCTCTCCAGCAGGCATTAAAAGACCAAAAACTGAAAGCCGAGAGTCTTTCTGACAAGGTTGGTAGCTACACTTGTCGATATGTACAAACACATTACTCAGTGCATACACAGTAGCTTATTATTATTTTCATTTCTATACTGTCCCACAGCTGGTGCTTTCTGGGCTGCTTTCAGTTTTCATTGTGTGGATGAAAGGAGAGGCAAAAGGAATGGGAAGTGTTGGTGCAGATGGGGTTTTATGTGCGTAGGCTTTGCTTCAGCTGGAGGAAAAAACTAATAAGCTGGGGACTTTCTAGAAAAGGCAGAAGAGAGCTTTTGAAAGCAGTGAGAAAAGGAACCACCGAAGTGCTTCTTGGAGGGAGTCTCAGGCACAGACTGTGGGTCAGCCAGGGATGAAAAGTGGAGTCATTTAAGAGAACAGGTGACAGACGACTGACTACCTGTTGAGGGATAAAGCCCATTGGGCCTGGTCGAGGGGTTGCAGGTCTGGGCCCTTCACATTTCCTTTTAATGACACCTCTTTACAGTGAAGTCAGTTCTGTTGCAGTGTGAAGCAACAGAAAGAGCTGCACCTGCCATCCTCATTTTACTTTGGTTGTCTGTGGTATGCTTGACTTTGCAATAAACAGTTGAAAAAGAAACCAGGAACAGGGCTTGTCTGCTGCGACTGCATAGCCACCTGGCAAGGGGAGTTAAGGGGAAGCAGGAAGGGAACCTGCTTCTTTTTCCAAAATCTTTCTAGTGCACTGCCAGGCACACCGGGCAGTTGCGGCCACTTGCACGTTGCTGCAGCTGCTCAACCCACCTGGCACCAATCTTTCTAAAAAGTTTTTGGAAAAGTAAATGGAAAACAAGGAGGCCAGATAATTTTCACGAGGTAAGGAAGGGAAGGCTGGACTCCAAAAAGTGGCCCAGTGACCTGTCCCTTTTTTCCTGGGTATTTGCTGTAACTCTCTAGCTCAGTGATTTGGAGAAGAAGCACGCCATGCTGGAGATGAATGCTCGTAGCCTGCAGCAGAAACTCGAGACGGAACGCGAGCTCAAGCAGAGGCTGCTGGAAGAGGTAATGCCTGACCCACCGCGCGTCGTTGTAGAGAGCAACGATGAAATAGCTGAACGACGCACAGTGTGCGTTCACACTACATACTTAACTGGTGGCTTAATAGTAATTCCACCTTCTCAGGGCAGTGTGGAAATTGAACTGCAGTGATTTGGGGGTGAGGTGGGGGATTGGACATCTCTGAACAGAAAATTCTCCACGTACTCCCCAAACGTTGGTTCCTAGGATTCTTGGGAGAAGTCACCATAGTTAAAGCGGTACCATACCATTGTAAGCATGTAGTGTGCAGGTCCGCCCAGGGTTGCCTTGTGAGGTCAGTTTGAACCTGAATTTAACCACAAAGCACTACCACTTTCTGTTAAAGGAGGCCTCTGCTGGCAAGATGCCTGAAAAAATACTGCTGTGAATTGATGCCAGTGGATGATGCTTTGCTGCTAAGGCATAACCACTTCAGCCTTTCTTTGTTTCATTCTTGGTCAAAGGACTTTGTCAAAAAGGGAATTCTGTGTAAAACAGGTCACAGTTAAGAAGATTCTCTTAGCAAGAACATGTTATGGGCAGTAGTGTAAATGTGCAAGAAATGCCTAATTTGTTTGGATGAATTCTTGGTAGAATTTTAAAGTTTTGGACACTTTTCTTTTACCATTATTAATATTACTATTATTAAAGGGGGCATTTAATGTCTTGAAATAGTGGGAAATGAGCGAGGGCGCACGGGGGTGTACCTTCTTCCAGTGGTGATTAAGAATATGGCGTCATAGCAACCTGTCTAATCAGACCCACTGTTACCAACAGAAGGCCCACTTTAGGGCACCTCTGGCCCTAAGGCTTTAGCTGAAATCACCCAGCCACTTTTAAAATGTCTCTTTGGAGTGTGATGAGGACTTATATAAACATTCTCCTAGAAGTTAGCTTTCAGGAAGAACTAAGAAGCAACTGCCACACCTCTCTTTCTCTCCTTTTAGGGAAAGGGACTTGTACATAATCCTGCAGGCTTGCTTCTTTGTTTTTTAATGGCTCACACTTTATTTTGTTTCTATACAATACCAGAGAGTCATGCAGTCAGTTGCATATTTCTCTGTTCTGGGCACAAGGGAGGTATCCAGAGCAAGAACCAACTGATAGGGCATGCAGACTGGGGCAGTAGAAAGAGTTAACTGTTTGAACAAATCCCTCATCATGGACTTGGAGGAATTCTTTAGGGAAAGATTATAGTTTCTGGTACTTGGTTTAGAAAAGAAGATGAATAGTGGAGGGATATGATAGAGATTTTACAAAGCAATGTATGGTGCGGAAAAAATGCATAGAAAGATTTCCCCCTCTCAAATGCTAGGATCCTGTGAAGAATCTACTGCCCCTCGCAGCTTGGAACGTTAGGCTAAACTCTCCTGCTGGTTTCTTTCCAGGGTTGCTTGCTGGGAGGCTTAGGGCTGGGTGTGTGATTTAAGAAGGGACTGCAGCTCTCCCTTCTCTGTGTGCTGGACCCTCAGCAAGACTTGCCTCTCACCTTGCTTACACTCAGAGAACAAGCAGAGGCATCGCTGTAGTATGTGCATTAAGTGTCATGGGTGCTTCATCCCTCAAAACTGAATCGAAAGGAAGCCCTGCATGTGGTACGTAGTCAGATTAGTCTAGGTGGCCACAAGCCCCTCCAGTCCCAGGGACAATATGTTGCTGGATGCCAGTTGCGGGGGGTGGGGGGGTTGGCAGAGACAGAAGCTGTTGCCCTTAAGGTCTGGACTGTGAGCTTCCCAGGGCATCTAGTTGGCCTCTGTGAGAAATTATGATGTTGCACAAGCAGATCTTTGGTTTGATCCAGGAAGGCTTTTCCTACGCCAGGTTCTTAGGAAATTCATGCTCTTTTTTGAAATGTCTGCTTGTAGTGAACTGTAACACAACTGTGAAAGAGGTGTCTTCGGTAACCTTCTAGATCAGGGGTCGGCAATCTTTAACACTTAAAGAGCCATTTGGATCCGTTTCCCACACAAAAGAAAACACTGGGAGCCACAAAACCCTTTTGACATCTAAAATGAAGATAACACTGCATACATCATTTTTTACCTTAATGCTATGTATACTTTCATTATGATTTAGCTGCAGCTCTTGTTCAGTCACTAAAAACTGTTATTTTTAATCTTACATTATAAACTAGTAGGACTCCTTTCATATATTTTGAGTAGGAGAACAGCTTCCTGCAGAGTCAAAATCAGTGCTAAAGGGCTGCATGCATTAAACAGTAAAAGCAAATGAATCTACCCACTTATCATTAAACGTTTGGTTTTCTTCAGAAACTTTTCTTCGATTTATCCATGGTTGGCCTACTGGGGGAAGTTGCAGATATGGGTGTGTTTAGTGACTGATTAGCAGATAAACAGTCAAGTGCTGTGAATTGTGACAGGTCCCAAGCAGCTTTTATCATTCAGAGGAAGGAGATTACATTTGGACAAAGAGAATCTTTTCAGCAGCCTTTCGTATAACATGAGAGCCTGCAGGAAGCTTGTTCCACTCTTTCCTCCAATGTCACAATTTACTTAACCTACTAGCGCAATGCTCCTGAGTGGATGCCTCATCATCTTCTGTTGGTATTTTGTATCTCGGAGCCTTGGTCACAGATCGGCAGCTGTGACGTGTATTTTGGGCGATGGAGCCGCAGCAGAGGGATTCAAGAGCCACATGCGGCTCCGGAGCCACGGGTTGCCGACCCCTGCTCTAGGTGATATGCTCTGCAGAGAACAATTTCTCCTGGGAGGAATGTTCAAAGATACAGTTTCCCTCCCTGCTGTCCGATGCAGCACAAGTCCATGTTTCTGCTCCCTTGCTCTTCATAATGCACAGAACAGCTCTGAGGTCAAGTCCTGTGGAAGCAAAGAGCCAAACCCCAGCCTGCAACATCAAGAGGGCATTGCAGTGGAGGCAGAACTTTTGACAGTGTAAGAGAAAATGGCTGGGCACTTTAAAACGGCTTTTAGCAACTTTAAGCACCTCTGGATTTTGCCTTCTTGTCAACAGCAAGCAAAGCTGCAGCAGCAAATGGATTTGCAGAAAAATCACATTTTTCGGCTGACTCAAGGCCTACAGGAGGCTTTGGATAGGGCCGATCTTTTGAAGAATGAGCGAAGTGACCTGGAGTACCAGCTAGAAAATATCCAGGTGAGGTGAATGCTCCCGGGGTGCCTGGGAGTCCTGCTCTGAAATCCATTCCAGTTGCACTGGAATGGGGCTGGTGTTTGAATGAGTGCCAACTGTTCTTCTCCTTTTTCAAAGGTTCTGTATTCCCATGAAAAGGTGAAAATGGAGGGCACAATTTCACAACAAACCAAGCTTATTGACTTTCTGCAAGCAAAGATGGACCAGCCAGCCAAAAAGAAAAAGGTGAGCTGAATAAGTAAAGATTAACGAGTAGGTATTAGATAGTTACAGACTGTGTAAAAATCTTAAGTCTGAGATTCAAAGGATATTTGCATGTTAATTCCATGTTCCCTCAAATCCCACTGGGGATGCACCTAAAGTAACTCTTTGGATCTTGGTCTAAATGATTAGATGTGGTATATGAAATTAAGCCATAATGAATGACAAACATGCCCTGACATAAGAAAACATTGTAAAGACAGCAAAAGGTGTTTAACTGGACCTCTGACCTCATAGCATTCCTTCCCTGAGCTAAGCAATCTGGAACACTTGGGAAGTGCAGGGTTTTCCTGCTTTTATGTGGAAATGTGTGAAAGAGACATACGGAAGTGCTTTTACAAGTAAGCGCAGAAGTGGTTCCAGTTAGCTGGATCCTTCTGCTTATGGCCACAGCCTTGTTACTGAGATGATACAGTGGCAGAGGCACAGAATCCGTGCCTGGTGAGATTATCATCACATTACATTTATATCCTGGCTTCTTTTCCTCCTGTGAGGAACCCAAGGTGCTCCATCTTCTCCTCACAACAACAGCCCTCTGAGGCAGGTTAGGCTGAGTCACTGACTGGCCCAGAGTCACCCAGGGAGCTTCATGGCCAAGTGGGGACTAGAACCCAGATCTCCCGAGTCCCAGTCCTGCATTCTCACCACTGCACCGTGCTGCCTCTCACTTGACTTTCCTCAACATGCTCTTCCCCAGATGGCAGCAGCTTAGCTCGGGAGGCACAGGCCCGGCCACAAGGCCCACAGCCGTCTCCTCCAACGCCGTGCTGCTGTCTCCCAGCAGGTGCTGCCCAGGGCACTGGCCTCACCCCACCTCATGGTATTGCTAGCCCTGTCTCTAGATACCGTTGAAGTGCAGCTCCTATTATCCTGTACCAGTGTCTGCACTGGGTAGGGCAAATGGACACTGTAGTCCAACAGCAGCTGGAGGCCTGCACTTTCCTCTCCACCACATGGGGAGAGCTGTTGCCAGGAAGACAAGGCTGGGCCAAGTTGGACACAACGGAGTGATTTTTGTCTTGATAGCCCACCATTCTCCTCTTGCAAGAAATCAAGGCTCCTGACATAGTCCTCCCTTTCTCCATTCTGTTCTCACAACAACCCTGTCAGTGGCCGCCCCAGCAGCACCACCCATCACCTGACCAAGTGAGGACTAGAAACTTGGAGTCCCCTGTCCCTGTCCAATACCCCCACCATTGTGCCATGCTGGCTCCTCAGTGGATGAGTGAGAAATGCAAATAACTGCCAGGATGAGATTCTTGAAAACTGTTCGGGGCAGCAGGGGAAACTTTCTGGTTTCTTTCCTCTGCCCAATTCCTTCCTTACCTAGAAGAGGAATCCCATCAGACCCTCTGGTCTGCAGTTAGTGAGGCTTCCCTTCCCCAAGTTTAAACCATCACTTACTAGAAGTTAGGAGCTGTCTGTGTGTTTCTGTTGCTAGGGCCTGTTTAGTCGACGGAAAGAGGACCCTTCTTTACCCACACAGGTTCCTCTGCAATACAATGAGCTGAAGGTGGCACTGGAGAAGGAGAAGGCCCGCTCTGCTGAGCTGGAGGAGGCCCTTCAGAAGACTCGCATCGAGCTCAGATCAGCTCGAGAGGAAGGTAGGGGGACACTGAACAGTAGCATCTGCAGAGGAGGGTTGTTTTTTAGTCCAAACGTGTCTCTCCTCTCTTGTGTCTTCTGTAGCAGTGAAATGTTTTTTCTCTCCCCTGCCCCTTTGTTGCTTGCTGTTGAGGATCTGCTCTAGCCACACCCTTGCTGCAGGCCGCAGCTCTTAAGGTTGCGTAGAACCACGGCTGCTCCTCATGCTGGGAGGAGTTGACTAACTGTTTGTGTGTATCTGTAGCTGCCCATAGGAAAATTACAGACCACCCTCACCCATCCACTCCTGCCACGGCCAGGCAGCAGATCATCATGTCTGCCATAGTCCGGTCACCTGAGCACCAGCCCACGCCCATCAGCCTGCTTGCTCCTCCCTCAAGCCGCAGAAAGGAGTCCTCCACGCCAGAGGGTAAGGCTTCGAGGGGCAAGGTTGGTTTGTGGAGAATGCCGTACCGAGGCAAGACCCCATCCTCGAATCATCCCATGATCCGCTTTCATGCAGGCCCACTCGGACCACGCATGTCACATGTGTCGCAAACCCAAGGTGGCTGGGAGATTTGCAGAAACCGTGAACAAACTTAGCAGTTGTGGAGTAACAGGGGAGGTCCTCTTTTGGATCAGTGCTTTTCTTCTTATTCGTAAATGATTTGGAACTGGGATGAGCAATAAAGCAGCCAAGTTTTCTGAGGACTCACAGCTATATAGGGTAGTGAAAGCCCAAAGTGATTCTGAGAAGCAAATTGGGTCAAGTGTAAAGGAATGTGTGATGGGGCAAAAGTGCCCAGCTTTGATGGTAAGCTGATGAGATTTGAGCTTGCTTAGAAGTGATGAAGGACGGGGTCTTGGCGGACAGCGCAGTGAAAAGGTCAACCCAGTGCACAGCTGCTATGAAAAAAGAAAAGTCCATGTTAGGCACAATGAGGAAGAGGATTGAAAATACAACTGCTAGCACCATACCACCCTTATGCAAGGTTATGGTGCAGCCACACTTAAAATATGAGGTGCCATTCTTGTGACTACACTCAAAAAAGGGATATTGTACAGCAGGAAACAGTGCAGAGAAGGACAGCTAAAATGATTAAGAAGCAACTTATCTATGAAGAAATGTTACAACAGAAAAATGGTGAATAAAGGGAGGCATGATAGAGATACACAGAATTATGCATAGTGTAGAGAAAGTGAAGAGAGGCATTTTTCTCTCTCTCCCATAAAGCCATGTATTTGCTTGTTTGTTTTTATACTGCCCAACAGCTGGGGTTCTCTGGGCAGTTTATAATAGCACTCCAGGGTGAATATGAGTGGTTGTTGTTGAACAGTGGATATCATGTTGTCAGAGTCCAGCTGTGCTAACAAATCATAGTTTATTAACCATGACCAACCCACAATTCACAACCCAGGTACAAAACATGGATTCTCTTCATGAGTTGTTTGTGGTTAACAAGCCATGGTTTGTTGGGGCAGCTGGGTTCAGACAACATGGTAATCCAAGTCTCATCTATCTATCTATCTATCTATCTTTCTTTCTTCCTTTCTTTCTACCTACCTACCTACCTACCTACCTACCTACCTATCTCTACTTCTATGCCACCCCGTAACCCAAGGATTCTCTGGGCAGCTCACAAATGCTGAAACCAATGATCCAATGATAACCCCTATTCAACCCTTTGAGAGTGAGTTATTAGCTAAGATGGGGAAGAGGCAAGAGAGGTTTGATTCTATTATTACACTTATAGCCTGTCTTTTTCCTTTTACAAGAAATCTATGGCAGCTTCCTCCTTGATCTTGTCCTCACAGCAGCCTTGTGAGGTAGTTCAGGCTGAGAGCCTGACTGGGCCAAAGTCACCCAGGGAGCCTCATGACCTCCTGTCAGCTTGGGACGAGTCCCAGTCTCACAGTCAAGCCACCACTCCCACTGGCTTTTTGTAAAACCTTTGAACAAAGTGAGCACGTGCCTTTCTGTGTTCACTTCCTTGTCCTGCAGAGGCAGCCTGTGCATCGCTTTCCACTCTCTGCTCTTGCTTCCCCTCCCTTCCTTTCCTTCCAAACATTAGGACACACTTCTTGTTACTTCCATAGTTTATTTTTCCTCTGGAAGTATGTTTGGATAAGAGACTTTCTACCCTTGGCTAAGGAGGATCATCTCTCAGTTTCTTGATTGGATTTTATTTCCCACGTGTTTCATTTCTTCCTAGCCCTTTCCTCCCAAAGGGACAAAGAGCACTCTCTTGATTTATTCTGATGTAAAGCTCAAATCCACAGGAAACTCCTCTTGTTGCCTTGATCAGACAGCTCCCTCTTCAAGCTGTCTTCTCTCAAATGTGGGAAGCGACTTTTGGGAACCCTCCTTCTCTTTAGGGAACCAGTGGTTGCCTTACCTTGTTTCTCTGAGCCACTCACTGTGGCCTTCCGGTAGCAGAGCCCTTCTGCATCCTGTTCCCAACCAGATGCGCCAGTGGGATGCCCACAAGCAGGGCTGAAGGGCAACAGCTCTCCACCTGCTGCTTCAGAGGTCTGCTGCCTGTGATCCTAGAGTTGGCATCGCCGTCTAGAGACAGGGCGGGCAACTTGCAGTCTTCCAGATGCTTTCACCGACATCTCTGATCGGCCCTCACCGTGGCCTACACCGGTTAGGGCAGTTGGGACTTGTAGGCCCAGACACCTAGAGAATCACTGATTGCCCATCGTTGCAGGTCCAAGATGTGTCTAGCTTACCTAAAGCCCTCTGTGCCACCTAAAAAAATACATGTCAGACAAGCTGCTTGTACACCCGTGTCAGCTTTCCAGTGCGTTCAACTTTCCTGTCTTCCCCTTTCCTTTCTATGGCTTGTCTGCTGCTAGTGTAGGTCTGTGCTTGTTTCTGTCCATGTGATGCCGTCATGTGATCTAGAGCAGTTGTTCCGTCTGCCAAGATCTGGGAAGCCACTAATTTTCCATCCCCACTCAGCTATTTTATGCTGTTTGAAAAGGTTCTGCCTTAGACTGGGCCCCCTGTCTGCAACGTAGGGCTAATGCTGGCTTACCTTACACAGGATTATAAGGATTGCTGAGATAATTTTGTGAACCTTCAAAGCCCTATATAAATGCTAATCATTATCATTATTACTTCATCTGCGAACTTTAAATTGCTAATCAGCTGGCCTGTGATTATAACTCTGGTGCGCCCCAACACTGAATGCTTCCTGCATATTAACTTGACTGCCAGACAGTGATAAACAGCCGTGGTGCTTCTGTCCTGCTGTGAATTCTGCATAAAACCTGCTCGTTTAACAATGATTTCTACAATGTTTTTCTTTTGCAGAGCTGACATCTCTCTTTCAAATTACGTTAGAAATGGTTTTGAATATTTCAATATCAGTATTGAAAGTTAGTTTGTACTTAAGCATGGCTGGCCGGTTTAAGCTAAAGTGATGTCGCTGCTCACCGGCGCATTCTGCCACAACACCCTTATGCGAGCTTGCAGAATCAAGAAAGCGAGCCCCCAGCGGACTGCAAGTGTCCCAGGTTCCATTTCCAGCGCCTGCACTTCAGAGACATAGAGAGCAGGCTGATAGGAAAGACTTTCTCTTCCTGAGAGGGTGGAGAGCTGTTCTTAGTCTGAATGGCCAACACTAGCCTAGATGGGCCAAGAGTCTTACCGCATAGAAGGCAGCTTCCTGGGGCCCTTAATATGCCTTACTGTGAATGTTTTCCTGTTGGATTTCCCAGTAATCAAAGATGTCAGTACTGCAGAGCAGTGCAGTTAGGTAGTGTTAGACTGTGGGCAGTGTGGTCTTGGGGAGTCCTGTTTGTCCCACTTTGCAGAGCCCTGGGCCTCTGTCCCGAAGCCTTGCTCTCCAAATCACACTGGCAATGAACTACTGTAGGTACCAATATGTTGAAAGAGCGCTGAGCAGTTACATCGTCATGCCTGCAGTCTTTCGACCAGCTTACCAACTGAACATGCCTATGAAGAATAAAGCACCGACGTTTTTCCATGCCATTTTTAAAATAATAATGCTTTGCTGCTCACTCTTTTTCCCAGAGTTTAATCGGCGTCTGAAAGAACGGATGCATCACAATATTCCTCACCGGTTCAATGTGGGGCTGAACATGAGGGCAACAAAATGTGCGGTTTGCTTGGATACTGTGCACTTTGGACGTCAGGCCTCTAAATGTCTTGGTAAGAATCTTGTGCTCGAATAGAAGAGCAAGAGGGGTTGAACTGGAGGAATAGTAATGTCCAAGTGCTTTCTCTATTGATCAACCCAGCAGATGCTTTTAATGCGTTTGTTTTTATGTTAACTTTTATCTGAAATTGCTTTCTGTCTGGATCATCATCTTGGCTGGATTTTGGCAGAAAGATGGAATACGAAGTGAGTGAGGGGAATCAGCACAAGCCAGCCTTGGCTGCCGGGTCTCAGACCCTTCCGTTCCCTTCGTGGAACATCTGTGTGCCTCCTTCCCCTCGCTCTGTGCCTCCAACAAGCAGCTGTCTGTCCCAACACTGAACTGAAGCTCCCTGAATGTCTGGGTGGCATTTGCATTCATCCACGGAGCCCCCAGTGGTCTAAGAAAGGTGCTGTCTGGAAGCCTTCCCTCATTCTGCTATGCTCTGACGAAGGAAGCAGAGGGAGAGAAGGCAGGCCATCCCATTGGCTTTTCTGGGGCAACAGTGGCTCAGCTTTTGGAGATGGAGATGGGCTGTTTGTCATGTGTGTGCAGGAATGACCTGCCTTTAGCTCTTTTCGCCCACCTGTTACCTGGCAGTAGTCATTCCATCACCCTACCTGTATCGTTTCCAATCCTGCTGGTCATTACAGGAACCATAACTTAAAGAGCTGGCACCTGTCTTTGTTCCTTTCCTCTTCTCTTCCCACCTGTTTTTCCTTTTATGACATGCCTTCTAAAATTTGAGCTTGAGGGCAAACTTGCTTGTTTGTTAGTGATTGTGAGCCCCTCTGGGAGCCCTTTCAGCTGAAGAGTGGAGTAAAAATACATAAAGATAAATAACGTCTTTCGCCAACTTGACCTTATCTGGGGCTTACCATTTTTGTTTTTAATAACTTTAGGCCAGTTAGAATCTTTATCAGCATCCCATAACAGCACAACAGTTGACCCAGTGCTTGTTGAAGGCTGCTTTCAATCAAGTGAAGCTGGCATATCTCAATAGCTACAGATTGCTTCACAGACTGCAGCCTATGTGGATTTCACAATTAATGTTGTTACCTTTATCAAGCAGAGTAAATGGCCTGCACCTCTATTTCTTCTGAAATCTGTATATTCTCTGTTAATTCAATTACCTCAGTCATTTTCCTGCAGCTAAAACCAACACACACACATGCGTGCATACCTATTACCAGCAGATGTCAGAACTTCAGGTCTGCGCTATTCCGCCTACACTGCAAAAACAGAAGGGTGCCGTACAAAAAGAGGCTACAAAAAGCAGCTTCTTCTGGCATCTGGGGTCCCCGGACTTGCCTATCATGTCATTCCTTGTGGGAAGAATAAAGGCACAGACAGAATAAGGGCACAGTTATAGGCTTCAGATGTTGTTAAGTAAATCTTGGTGAGCTTTATTCTGAGGACTTCGTCTTGTGGTACTTCCGAGTCACTCTGTTGCCACAAAAACAATAGTCTTGTGTTTCTTTAAAGATGAGCACACTTATTTCAGCAGGAACTTTTCTATACATTGTCCATTTATGCATCTGATGAGCTAGACTGTGCCTGTGAAAGTGTCTGCCGCAATGAACTGGCTTGTCCTTGCGGTGCTACGAGACTTTCTGTGCATCTCAGGGCATAAAACCGCTAGCCATTTCTTACTGGTTCACCTATCCTGTGATAACCCCAGCATTTCTCAAATCAGCTTTTCAAGTTGTGCAGTCTGTCCTGGATTGCCAGCTACTGCTTTATTCTGCTTCTTAAAAATGTATATGTGTGGTCTGTTTTGCGTTATGATTGTTTCGGTCTTGTATTATTGTTTCTATATGGACTCTTTCCACACCCCCAGAATGCCAGATGATGTGTCATCCAAAGTGCTCGACCTGTTTGCCAGCTACTTGTGGCTTGCCAACTGAGTATGCCACCCATTTCTCTGAAGCCTTCTGCCGGGACAAACTGAACTCTCCAGGTCTTCAACTGAAAGAGCCTAGCAGCACTTTACGGCTGGAAGGATGGATGAAGGTGCCAAGGTACAAACGTGAGTCTCTGCGCTAAAAGGCCAGCCCAGAGCCGGTCGCTGCAGGAAGAGCTGCTCCACACACTTCGACTGAGCCCGCTGAGGCCGGTATTCTTGTAGCTAACAAAGTCCCATGGGATTGGCTGACCCCATTCCCCCGGAACTTTTGGCAGAAACTCTAATACAGTGTTGTCCTTTTTCTGTGTTTTCAGAAATAATAAGCGTGGGCAGCAGGGCTGGGACAGGAAGTATATAGTTTTGGAAGGAACCAAAGTGCTTGTTTATGACACAGAAGCAAGAGAAGGTAACCACCTCTATCTAACTAGCTTTCCTGTCCTCCCTGGCATGACCCGTCCTCAGAGCATTACTTTGTCTGAACCAAATGTCGAACTTAGTGCAAACAGGAAATGGTTCAATATTTGAGAGACTTTGCTCTCCAGAGTTCTTCTGTCCAGAGAGCCCTTTCTGCCCCTGGCTGCCAAGGAGGCACCAGCCCACTTTGCATACAGTGAGGGGCCTGTGGTGTGCAGTGTTTCTCCCCCTGCCTGCCTCCCCCTCGCCCTGCCTTCTTCCTCACTTAGTTTGCACTTCATGTTCGCATCTCGTTTTATCTTTGCCAAAGCTGGACAAAGACCTGTGGAGGAGTTTGAGCTGTGTCTTCCAGACGGAGATGTTACTGTCCACGGAGCTGTGGGAGCAACAGAGCTTTTAAATACAGCTAAGACAGGTGAGGTAAACTGCACCTCATCAAGTGCCTTCATGGTTACCATTCTCTCTCGTGCTAGGATCAAAACATCATGGGCTATTTCTAGAAGAAGACTGATAGGGTTCTAGGGGAAGGCTACAAAAACATACAAGGGAGAGAGATCCCTCTAAGTGGCCGCCCCTTGCCTGAATTCAGTCAGACAACCTCCACAGTTACAAGTACCGGGTACTGCCTTCTGGAGGGATGCAATATTTGGCCATTCCTTTTCTACCCAGGGAATCCAGGATGTTGGTTCACTGCAGGTCCAAATGCTGTTTAAGTGCCAATCAAATTGATTTAGTCTTATCCTAATTACAAGGATGATTTAGTGCCATCTTTTGGACACAGAGCTTTATACAGAGAAAGATAAGCTGTTGCCCACAGGAGTCTAAATTTCAACAGTGGGAGGGACGTTAAGGTGAGAGGAGATTAAAGAAAGAGGGAGACAAATGTTACAGGGAAAACACCATTACACATCAGTGACTTTTATTTTCATTGGGGATGGGGGCTAAGGGGGCAAAATAAAGGCATTAGGAATAACATGTGAGTTTGAGAAACACAATCCTTCTGTACAGCACTAGCAGCAAAGGTAGCCATTGATTCAAGGGAACTTCTCCTCCTCTTTTGGCTGCTTCTTTGGGATCAGAGGAATCTCTAGCCTAGCATTTGAAAATAGCATCTTCTCCTCTTCAATCAAGAGCCTATTTATAAAGCTCTTTGGATCTGAATTCATTTTCTTCCGACGCCTGCACCTCCTGTGTGCTAATTCTGGAGATGTTTTGCCATTGTGGGACTCTGAGGTGCCAGCTGAGCGGAGGCAGGGGAGGCTCCTCAACAGAGCGCTTTGCTTTTTTGTAACTGAGGGCTCTGTGCACAACTCAGTGTTCAAAATTAAAGGCTCCTGTTCCGATAGTGCTCTCCCTAGAAGGAGAAATGGTCCAGCAGAAGAGCACAGTCCTTCTCATAATCCAGTTTGTGTGTTTTCTGTTTTATCTGGTAACAACTTAGATGTGCCATATATCTTAAAGCTGGAGTCTCATCCCCATACCACGTGTTGGCCTGGCCGGACCCTCTATTTGTTAGCATCCACGTTTCCTGATAAGCAGCGTTGGGTCAGCGCACTGGAGTCTGTAGTAGCTGGAGGAAGAGTTTCCAGGGAAAAGGCTGAGGCTGACGCTGTAAGTATATTTAGAGTCCAGCCTTATGCATGCTTAGAGGGGGAAAATGTCCTACACCTTTGGCAGGACTTTGTAGTCTAAACATGCATGGGATTGCATCTTCAGCTCCTTCGATTGCACCTCTGTAGGGAAGGGGAAAGGTGCTGGGCTTCTTTTGGTTTGCCCAGTCCTTCTGCATGCCACTCCCTGGCTAATTAAGGCAAGCAGATTGGGATGCTGAAGAAACACTCCCTGTTGGAATTAAGAAAATAAGCTTATATCACACCTCCCCAATGTGCTGTGTTAATCTTCCTTTTCTCTCTTTCGCTCTCTCACACACAGAAGCTTCTGGGAAATTCTCTCCTGAAGCTAGAGGGGGAAGACCGTTTGGACATCAACTGCACACTGCCCTTCAGCGACCAGGTAACGGCCACTTGCCTCCTGTCGATCTGCCAGACTTTGAGCAACTAGGTGCATTTCTTAATGTGGGTTTGTTTTGAATCCAGAGGACGTGTTCTTTGTCAGTTGGCTGATCTTCTGCGTGTCTATCTTGAGCATCCCTACAAGCACTTCTTTTTCCTTTTGACCAATGGATTTGAAAATCCCTGTTGCAGGTAGTACTGGTGGGTGCTGAAGAAGGTCTTTACGCCCTGAATGTGCTGAAGAACTCTTTAACGCACGTCCCTGGGATTGGTGCTGTTTTCCAAGTGCACCTGATCAAGGACCTGGAAAAACTGCTCATGATAGCAGGTAGCTTTCAGAAAAATCTTTATCATGCTTTACAGAAGTTTCTTAAATTGATTTGTGAGTGACTGTCTCCTCAGCACTTCCTTACATTGGGAAAACTTATTCAGCCACTCCTGATTTCTGGAGCTTCATCAGGTATTGTCTACATTGTCAAACTGCCCTTGGCAGTTAACTAGTCAAACTCCCTCATTTTCCCATGAACAGAACATGCTCCAGGACTGTAGAAAGTGCTTCTTTCAACCAGATCAAAATGATGCAGTGTACTTTGTTACAGAGGGATAGGTTTTCACCGGAGCTCGGGCAGAGATTTTTATCTCCTCTGACTTTATAGCAAGGGGGAGCCATGTGTGCCCCCCTAGACGTTTTGCATTACAGCTCCCATTAGCCCTAGCCAGCAGGGCCAATAGCCAGAGATGCTGGGAGTTGTAGGCCAAAGCATCTGAAGGGCCACAGGGGTCCACCCTTGCTGTAGGAGAGCTTCGAACTATTTCTGATATTGCTTCCCCAGGTGAGGAGCGGGCACTGTGTCTCGTTGACGTGAAGAAAGTTAAGCAGTCGCTAGCCCAGTCCCACCTACCAGCTCAGCCGGATGTCTCGCCAAATGTTTTCGAGGCCGTGAAAGGGTGCCATCTTTTTGCTGCTGGAAAGGTAGAACCTCCCAGCTTTGTCTCTTGGTGGAACTGTCCCTGGAATGCTTGTGACGATCGACGAAGAGGTTCCTAAGCAGCATCCATCATTTGTATTCTTCCCTTCCTGTTAAGTTCCAGGGGTGTGTGCAGCCTTGAACAAATACAATGCAGCGACCACATAGGTCATCAGAGTAAAGAACCAGCAGAGGGAGGGAGCCTTTGGTTGCATCCTTCCAGTGTAGGTGGAGTGGGGAAGCAAGGCTTGGAAGGAGCATGAGGAATGTAGAAAATAATCCCTGCCTTATCCTAGTTTAGGCTCTGGGCCTGCTTCCCGAGCACTCTTGAGATGGACTGGTAGCAATTCTCCTGGTCTGGATTTTTTCCTACCTTTTCCTAGAGAAGCCAGACCCTCCCCGTGTAAGTGCGCCTTGCCGTTTGTGCCAGCCCCCTGACTGCCCCAGGTGCATGGGGCTGCCTTGCAGGACATCTGTGTGAGTCCAACTCTTATCGCAGATGCCCTCTCAACCCTCCACCTTTTCCATGAGGCCCTTTGGCGCAGCCTCCTCATTCTAACGCTTTCCTGCAACACCGTCTCGGCTGAGAATGTACGGCGGCAATGGCTGCCTCTCACCCCACCTTCTAGCCCTGTTCTGCGGTTCCCTCCCTTTTCTTTCTTGTCTCCCCTCTTATTGAATTTTAGATGATATGTTCCTTGCAGCAGGGAGTTGGCTTCTTGCGCCCTGTAACGAGCCATTCAAATTTTAAGTAAGACTAGCAACAAAAATAACGGGAATTCTGTGGAGATACGCCTGGAATGTGTCTCATACCCTCTCTTGAGATTTGAGCCTGTGAAAGCCAAGCATTTGCCTGGCATCTTGGCACTGCCCGACTTCCCTGTTCATCCCACCATGCAAAAATGCTGGCAATCGACTCTTAGGGGATGGCACACATTATGCTAACCCTCACACCTCAATTGCAAGCCCCTTTCTGCTTGCCATGGCCTCCCCCCCACCCCCTTTTGAGGGCGGGGAGAGGTTGCACTCTTTTTCGCAGCTGGGGACAGCTTCTTCAGAGTGTCCAGTTGGCACGTTAGAAGGGCTGTCAGCAGTTAACAATCCTTTCAAAGAACGAGCAAGCAAATTGTGTCCGCAGTGTGTGCAAAAATGGTTTTAGCTTCACTTGCACAACTGCAGAACTGTGCACCTTTGCAGTTGTACAAAAGGAACCATTTTTTTAAAAAAGTGAAAATATTTGTGCACATGTTTTGGGGCAAAAAGTATTATTCTGAAAATGGTGGCTAACCACTGATGGCCACTTCAATGTGCCCCTTGGCTGCCAAAACAGAAATTGTGAAAACCGGCTATCCAAGAGGAGGCTGTGAGGTGAGAGCTGCTGTGAGTGAAAAAGCCCTTGCAGTTGTGGCAGAGGAAACCTCGCTAGCAACATGTGCCTCCAGATACCCCTTGGGCCCTCGTGGGACATGTGGCAGTGGCGATGGTCTGGGCAAGCTGGGCAAGGACAGAGGGGCTTTCGCTGCTGCATCCAAGAAGGAAGGTCCCTTGCGGCTTCATTCTGCCCACAGGTGGAATGACTGCCTGGGTCTGGCCATCATGCGCGAAACAACCAGGTGGGCAGGGCAGAAAATGGTCTGCTGTGTCGTGCAATGGTCTTGGGTCATGTTCTCAGTAAAGCCAGCAGCAAAGTGCTGTGCGATGGGGAGCAAAGAATAAAGGTTGTACGCTGTGCCTCCTCTGCGCCAAGTATTCCCCATTGGTTTAACAAAGCCAGATTCACTGTTTGTTCTCCCTTGTATGCAGATTGAGAACGGGCTGTGCATCTGCGCGGCGATGCCCACCAAAGTGGTCATTTTGCGCTATAACGAGGGCCTCGGCAAGTTCTGCATCAGGAAGGTAAAGTTCACAGTCGTTTTCTGCCAGGGTGAGTCTGCCATGAGTGGGTGAGCCTGCCAGGGTGAGCAGGTTTTCTGCCAGGGTGAGCCTCTCAAGGGGGGGACCATCTGCCACTCTTCCGTTGGAAGGGGCCTCCCAGGCCATTTAGTCTGACTCCCGGTTCCAGCCGGCTCTGCTCTTATAATCCCCAGCTCAACCCCACCCTGTCCCTGTCCAGCTTTTGTCCTTGCACCGGCTTGACTGTGATTGTCCAGTGTCTGCACTGAAACTCTCCATGTATGAAAGAGTCTTGTCCGAATGTGTCTGCATCACGCATGGCTGGCTGATACCAGAAGAACGCAATAGTGACCCTATTGCATGAGAGTTAGCAGAAGGCAGATCTCTGGATGTTTGGGACCAGTTCCCAGGAGTCCTTGTCAGTATGGCCATGGTCAGGCATGCTGGGAGGTGAAGTCCAAACCAGTTGAGGGGTCTTCGTTCTGCTCATGCCTGTGCTTGCTCAATCAAGCCATGTAGCAGAGGTTTAGGGCCGTCTTTTTTGGTTTCCCATCAGCAGATCTCGCAGTGCGCTTCTGCAAGCATTTCTCAGAGGTTCTTCAGTTCAGAGAGCAGTAACGGCAGCGATGCTTCCCCGGCAGTCAGATAGCCACTTGTGCATGGCAAAGCTCTGCATTCCTTCCCATCCCTGTTCCAGTCCCTGACCATCTCTACCCTGCTGCATGCTTGTTGAAAGGAGATCAAACAGGGCTTGAACCAAGTTGGCAGCCGCATTTTCAAGTCTGGAAGCCCCGGCTCCATGTCGCTTTATGCCACAGCAGCTATGGGGGCGCTTGGGGGCGCATGCCCCCTCCCAGGCTATGGAATAGTGGAGATTCTGGCTAAGCAGCTCTTGTGCTTCTGGTTTTGCTCTTTCAGGAGACTGAAACCTCAGAGCCCTGCAGCTGCATTCATTTCACCAATTACAGCATCATCATCGGAACAAATAAGTTTTATGAAATTGAAATGAAGCAGTATACCCTTGAAGGTCAGAATCGCATCCTGAGCCTACTTCTAAGGCATGGTGTTCAGGTCCTCATACTTGGGGGGTGTGAGGAGGGGAGGGGAGGGGAGGGGAGGGGATCACTCTCACACCCCGCCTGCCTGGGCCAGCTGAAGCAAGACTGAGCCTGGGGGTGGGAGGCTGGAGGCAGTGGCACTGGAGCATTGTCCGAAGTCCAGCAGGCAGATGCTTTCCTCTCCATCCTGGCAATATTTTCCAGGACAAGCTTTGAGTGCAAATTTCTCAGCTCTGGCCAAAGATCTGTGTAAGCTGATCCACCTCTGACAGGCTGTTGCAAAACATCTGCATTTGGTCGAGGCTGATTGGACTGCTTGACCCACTGCTGGCGTGAGTGGGGAAACCCCATTCTTTCATCGAGGCAAGACCTGGCTGTTGGAGGGCAGCCAGGAGGTGCCCGGGCAAGGGGGCTTTGTTGGAGACAGCTGTCTCTCTGAAGGCAGGGGGGCCGTGAAAATTGGCTGGCTTGTTTAAAGGCTTTCTAGACCAGGGGTGACTAGACTTGCTTAATGGAAGAGCCACATATGGTAAATGTCGGATATTTGAGAGCTGTGCGTGGTGTGTGGGTACCCATGGGTGGAAGTGGCAAGCAACAAAATAAGCTCAAAAGAGTCACATGTGGCTCGCAAGCCTCGGTTTGGCCACAACATAAAGCACCATAACAGTAACCTATCCCAACCTAACAATAACTTATCCATAGTAATAATAATAATTCAAAAATAATAATCTGTAGAAAGAATAAAACAATAGTACACAACACAATAGACACTAATCCACAGCAACCAATCAGTCACCGTCTGAATAAAAACCAATACAAAATCATTGCCAACTATTCAACAATTAAAATAATGGGAAAATAAAAACGGTTTGACCTTGTGCTGAAAAGTATACAGTGTCAGCACCAGGCGTACCTCCCTGGGGAGTTGGTTCCATAGACGGAGCGCCGTTTTGTTCCCATGAAGGTGCCTGGAGGGGGTCCAAGAACGCCAGTGTGGGATCAGTCCCTCATGTCCAGCTCTGTGTACATGCACCCCACCACGTGGGAGGCTGCCTGTGTGAAGAGGGAAGAGCGCCGGGCAGTGGCATGCTTGTCCTGAGAGAAGAGCACACCTGGTCTCACGTTCTCTCCACCCATCTTTTCTTCTAGAATTCCTGGACAAGAACGACCATTCCTTAGCTTCTGCCTTGTTTGCATCGTCCACTAACAGCTTTCCAGTCAACATCATCCAGGTGAATCCTGCTGGGCAGAGGGAGGAATATCTCCTTTGCTTTCATGGTAAGTTGGGTACAGCCCCAAACCTGCTGTGCTGACTAGGGAAGATGGGCGTCGCGATCCAGCGCAACGGGAGGGAGCATCTGGGGAAGCATCTTGCTCTTGAAGGCTCCATTTCTTTGTGGAACAGGAGCAGCTTGGGGGCCGAAAGAGCCAGGGTTCCACAGTGTCTTTCAGGAAACCCCCTCCCCATTTCCCTTTGTGCCTTGTGTCTGAGTGGTGCTCTTGCCACAGCCCCCGCTTGTGGGCCTCTGCTTCTGATCTGTTTTGTAGGCGGCTCTTGCTCTGCTTACGAGGCTTGTTGTGGTGCTGCCAATGCTCATGCGCTGTCTGGCATGTGATGTATTGGCAGGCAAGGGATACCTGCTCCAAGCATGCTGTGGCTCTTGAGGTCCTGCGTTGTTTCACTCAAGCACTGCCACTTCTCCACTGGTCCCAGGAGCAGCGTGTGGGGTTTCTAGGGCAGGTGTAGGCAACACACTGCCGGCAGGCAGCGGCATGCCCGCAGGAACCTGCCTGGATCCCCGCTGGGACACTCTAGTCCCCCAGTATTTTATTTCAAAGTACTTGCCTTCCTGGCAACTGGATCTCTCAAAAAGGACAGCTGCTGCTCCCCTGGATCCCCTGGGATGCCTCTGGGCAGGCAGCTCTGGCTTGTCCTTTGACCATCCAGGCCCACCCGTTTTGTTGCTGTTTCTGAACGTCCCAGATGGACCCACAGGCTCTTTCCCTGTCGTGGGGAAAGAATCACACCGACAGTGCCCAGGCCTACTTCGCTTTGATGATGAAACTTTGGTTTTGGCCGCTGCCGTAAACCTTTCAGAAAGAGATGGCCACTTCTTGAAGGATAACCCGCCTCTGCTCCCCTGCCAGACTCCTGTCGCACTTTCTCTTGAGAGTAACAGCATAGTGGTTGAGGTTTTGGTTTTTTGCTTGTTTCTTTGCCTGCAGAGTTTGGCGTCTTCGTAGACTCTTACGGGAGACGCAGCCGCTCCGATGACTTGAAATGGAGCCGTCTGCCTTTAGCATTTGGTAAGTGCCATGTGAGATCTTTCCTGATCTATTGCTTTTGCCCACATCCTGTTTGCCCACACTGGAATGTAGAAACTACTTTTTGGAACAGGTGACATTTAAGAAAAACTGTATCAAGAGGGAGACACAAAGAGAATTGGAATCCTTGGAGACACGAACACAAAAATTGTGGATCATCTTAGCAGAGGAACCAGCCCCTATGGGCCCCATGCCAAGTGGCTGTTTAAGAGAAGAGAGGCATGTGGAGGGTCCATTTCAGCCTCCCCTCCCCAGAGTGTTCCTTGTAAAACTGGACCCTGGCTAAGACAATACCCCCTTCAATTGGGGTTGAGTTTCACAAAATAATGGATGTCATTGTCACCTTTCATGAGCTGTGGGAGTAGAAAGAGTGGGGAAAAGCCCGAGTGCCACAAAAAGAAACCACCCCTCGACCTGGGAAGGCTGCTTTAGATCGGCTCCTCCAAAGCGCAAGAGGGTCTCGCCCCAGCACACCAGCCTGAACTAGTAACAGAAAAGTAGCGCTCATCCCTCTAGTTCTTCAGTTGATGCCCTTCCCTTCAAGGGAGCTCTGGCTCAGGCAGGACATGCAGCTTGTGAGTGGAATATCTTTGTCCTTCTGCTGAGCAATTTCCTCATGGCTGGGTCATCACACACATGGGAATTTGTGTAGACATCCAAATTGGCAAATACAGACTGCTCTCTGGAAACGAGGAGGATAATGGGATATTTCTTGCAGTAAAGTCCTGGGTTTGGCACCATCGAAAGAGCATTCTTCTGAGCACAGCCTTTGGCATGGAACCATACTGTACTCATGGTGGCAGGTGGCTGGGTGGGAGAGTCGGAGCTGGACCTCAGGGAATTTCCTGCTGCCTTGCCCACCTTCTTTCCTGAAAGTTCAAGTCTTTCTACTTGATTACTGGTTGCGCTTGGTCCTCCTGTCTGGAAGGGCAGGGAGTCCTGTCCCGGAGGAGTCGGTCTCAAGCTTGGGTTCCTCCCCTGCTTCAAGGGAAGGGTTTCTTTCCAGGGAAGCATAATGCCCTCTGGAAGCCAGCAAGAAAACGAGGCAGAGTTCTCCTCCTCTTTTCCTGCTCTGTATCCAGAGCAGCATCCTCGTCCCCTTGCATCCTGGCTGCCAGGGCTCTGCTAACACTGCCTCCTTGTCCCTGGCGCTGTTGCAGCTTACAGGGAGCCGTACCTGTTTGTGACCCACTTCAACTCGCTCGAGGTGATTGAGATTCAAGCACGTGCCTCTCTCGGGTGAGTGAGTGCCTGCGCAGCGCTTGCCTGCCTTAACCGCGGAGGCCGGACGGCCCCCGCTGCAGCGGAAGGGCCAGTGTCCAACCCAAAGACATGTTTCCCCCCTCAGCACTCCAGCTCGCGCTCACCTGGATATCCCCAGCCCCCGCTACCTGGGGCCGGCAATTTCATCAGGAGCCATTTACCTGGCCTCTTCCTACCAGGACAAACTGAGAGTCATTTGCTGCAAGGGGAACTTGGTGAAAGAATCCAACAATGAACACCACCGGGGATCCTCAACCACACGCAGGTAGGAAGGGCGGTGCTCCATTCCAGCTGGGCGCTGGGTGCTTTGCAGTGGGAGGCAAGGAGGCCTCCCTCACAGGGCTGTTGTTGTGAGAAGAGTGAGGGAGGAGAAGAGTGATGTAATGCCTCTTTGAGTTCCTTAAATGAAGAAGGGGGGGATATAAATGAAATACACACATGAATAAAGGCAGGCCTCTGTCCCAAGGGCTCTACAATTTGGCAACAGATAGCGAATGAGTTGGGGGAAGGCATGAGAAATGGCCCAGTAACCAGGAAAGCCATGCGCCATTGCAGCTTTGTGTATTCAGGTTGTGATCTCAGAGGTGGCTGTTGCCTGGGGAGGCTAAAACTGTAATGGGAAACCGGGTGGGTGAAGGCTGAGCGAAGCTTTGCGAACAAGGCAAGGAATCTGTGTTGGGTGTGGGAGGGGTGGGTGAACCATAGTAGAGAGTCCTGTGGTCTGGTTGATGGGAGGCTGTATTTTTTACCTGTGTGTTTGCTTCCAAAGAAGATCTGTGGTGCGCCTGAGACTGAGGAGCGATAAGGGGAAGGGCATCAGTAGTCAAGGCGAGGGATGATCCAAGCTTTGCTAAAGTAGCTGAGCAAATGGAAAGGATGCTTGTGGTGTTGTGTGGGTGTGACCATTGGGAACAAGGGAGAGTGAGGAAGGAAGGAAGGAAGGGTGAAACCAAGGCGCTTGGGCACTCGGCAGGGTGGGCAGTGGGGAGCTGGGGCAAAGAGCTGCTGCTGAGCAGGGCTTAAGAGGAGAGCCGAGCAGTCCCAGTGTGGATGTATCTGAGTGATGGGGCAGCAAAGCAGAGCTGCTGTTCAGGCAGGGGAGAAGTGGTGGGCAGATGGAGCTGGATGTGCTCCGCATGAAAGGAATAGTGGAGGGTGGGGGAATTAATGAGCTCGCCCAGCATGTAGTGGAACGCAGCGACGTGTGCATGGAGAGTGCTGCAGAGTGAACGGAAAGGCAGGGGAGGGCTTCCAGGGAAGCGCCGAAGGCGGGAGGCCGCATCCACTGGGTGCCCACCGAGTGCCCGGGAGCCGTCACAGAAATCCGGTGGGTGGGGGAAGGTGTCAAGCAGAAAAGCCCAGTCAGGATCGCCTGCGTTCAAGGGAGCCGACAAGCCAAAGGACTTTTGGATCTGCACAAGTTGTTGAAGGGAGGGCTGTTCAAGGAAGTGCAGGGCAAAGCGTGGCGGTTGGGTTACACACGAGTTGAGGAGCCAGAAAGGTTGAGGCACTGGCGGTGGCACTCGCATGCTGGCTGGGGATCTTGTGAGTGGGAGCCCAACAATTCTGGCCGGTCCAGGGTGGAGGAGGCTGCCCTGGAGCAACTTCTTCGGAGGAACCCTGACTGGACTCTGCATGACTTTGTAGAGCCGGGGAGGGCAGGGTGGGGGGAAGCAGCACTGCTGTACATAAACATGTAACTTTAAGGTTTTTGTCACTCAGCTGTCCGCGTCCATTGTTTTTGAATGACAGCAGCCCAAACAAGAGAGGTCCCCCAACATATAACGAGCACATAACCAAGCGGGTCGCCTCAAGCCCCGGACCTCCGGAAGGTCCGAGCCACCCTCGAGAGCCAAGCACACCCCATCGCTATCGAGAGGGACGGACGGAGCTCCGCAGGGACAAGTCTCCTGGGCGCCCGCTAGAGAGGGAGAAATCTCCTGGCAGGGTCCTGAGCACCCGTAGGGAACGGTCGCCCGGGAGGCTGTTTGAGGAGAGCAGCAGGGGACGGATGCAGGCGGGGGGCGCGAGGACTCCCCTCTCCCAAGTCAACAAGGTAAGCCGTGAATTCTGGGGCGGGCACGCAGGGACCATCCTGCACCAGCGGCAGGGAAGAGAAGGCGGCTCTGGCACACCCTCAGCTGCTGTGTGAAGCCACGTCAGCCAGCAAATTTTAAAGCAGGTGTGGTGGGGGGGATGCTTGTCTACCTGCCAGAAACATCTCTTGTGCGAGGAGCATGTCCAGAGAGCTTTGTGGGCCAGGTTGCAGGGGCGCATTTTGTACCTCCCCGGAAAGGTGAAAAGCCGGAAATGGTCGTCCTCTGCTCCCCCTGGAATGCCTGTTCAGAGGAGCAGGTCGCGGGCCTCCGTCCAGCACCACTGGAGATGGGGCTGCTTTCTGGCCCCTGGGCTTGCAGGCCCTCTCCTGAAGGTCGCATCCTTTTTCTGTCCCTGACAGGTCTGGGACCAATCTTCAGTATAAGCTACACAAGCCTACCCTTGACCTTGAACTGCAGGGAGAACCAAGGAAATGTACTGAGGAGGCGTGCACACGTCTCCCTTAGCCGCCCAGCCACCCCACCAATAGCACTGGGCCCGAAAAGGTTCTGGCAACGGGATCCGATCCACCAGGACTCAAGTTGCTTGCAAGGATTGTTTTTGCATCTCGGTTTATTTTCTTACAGCTTCCTGCAGTTGGGTTTTTCTCCTCTCCCCCTCTTGGGTACTTTGTACTAGCATTGCTCTTTCAAAGCAGTTCATGAACTTTTTATACGTCGCTTTTAGCCTTTTATGAGCCCCATCAATGAAGTCAGATGGGATAGGGCGCTCACCCAAATCTGAAAGATGTGGCTATCAGCATTTGGGGAAAGATGCTGGAATTCCGGAAAGGCCTCGTCACCAGCAAAGGCTGTGGTGATTCTGTCTCACTACCCAGAACCATCAGCTTCTGCTGCGGAGCTTTAGAGAAACCCTGATCAATTTAGTCTCACCTGCTTCCAAAATCGTCCGGAATTTCATATTCCAAAAAAAATATGGCTGTATGTGCAGCTCTGTGGTCAGCCGGGTTGTGGGGAAGGGAACGTCCTGTTTTAGCCACCCCCAAGCACCCCCGGATCACATGGAATGTGGTCACAACCCCTTGCTCTCCCTCTGCATTAGAGCGGTGTGGAGGCCTCGCCCTCGCCCTCCTACCTGGGTTTTCTGCATGGCAGCTCCCTGCATGCTTACTGCACCACCATCATCCTGGTTGCGGTCTCCTTTTCAGTTGCTTTGCTCGATATTGTATCTTGTACCTCCCGTGTTAACGAAACTAAAGCCTTTCTAGATTATGCTGCAACAATAACCATCATTGTTTACTGGGGAAACTGGCACTGAAGGAGAACGAGCTATGAGTCTCAATTCCACGACAACAGAACTTGACGAGGTATGACAATGTCACCATCCTCAGCCGGCATTAGACAGGATCCTGTTGCCAACTTGTCACTGCTGGACAACGGCCAAGCAGAGGAGATGCCTCCTTGCCCCAGTGGTAAAAGCGGCACTCAGCCAGTCTAAAGACGGTAGCATTACGGAAGAGTAAGAGCAGGAAAACCTTACCCATGCCAAAAACAACAGCAGCAAAGAAAAACGCCATGGTGTGGTCTGCAACCTTTGCACACCCCTCCTGGCAGTAGAGGAGACAGACACGTAAAATGGCTGTGGCAAATTCCCCTTCCATCACTGTTTGCCTCCAACTGCAAGCCTTCTATTGCTTCTCATTCTCGGGTGTTGCTGAGCACTGAGGGAAACTTACTTCCAAGCTAAGCTCTGGCCATTCAGTTCGCTTTAGCTCAAATTTTTCTCTCTCCAAGCTGGCAAGAGTAAAGCCACCCTTCTCTCCTGCTTGCCCCTTTTGCCAGCTGGTGCTGCCCTACTGGAGAGGTGCCTAAATCTCTTTTGCTTCATCAGTGCCCTTCTGGAGGGTTTTGTGGATAACAGGGTCTGGTCTGTTGCATATCGGGCTATTTTATATCAGATGGTTTGTCAGGAAACATGCTGAGATTTCTGCCTCTGGTCTGGGTGTCTGGAAAGGTATTTAAGGTCTTTGCATCTCATGGAAAAGTCCCTCATGACCTGAAAACTCGGCTTGTCGAGTCCTAAGAGTGTATATCTTGTGTCTTGTTTGTGAAATGCTTCCTGCTATAGAATAGCTCAAAGGACTGTACATATTTACAAGAAACTTTATATTCGTAAAAAAAAAGGAAATCAAATCAGTTTCTACTTTTTTATTGTAAAGTGTGCATTTTTTTTTCAACCACTAGCCCTGTTTTACCGGTGGCTGTGGAAAGGTGTCTTCAGCCACCACTGAGGGGCCTCAGCCTCATCCCCCAGGACCCCATGAATAAATATTGTAACCTTAAACTTGCCAGCAGAAGCTTGTTAGCATCAATGAGGTCGTAGGCATTATAACAGAATAGAATTTGTCTTCATCACCTTTTTATTATTGCAGACAAGGGAAAGAAATGACAGGAATAATTCACACTCCAGCTGAGAAGTGTTGAACCTGCTGTTGAACAATAACCAAATAAAAGCGAATTCACTCTACTGACTGGCTTGGTGCAGTGACCTTTCCTTCCTACAGGAGCGGCAACATGGAGGTGGCGGAAGTGGACCTTTCCCATCATGGCCCCAATGCCGCCGTAAGTCACCGCTGCCTTGAAAGAAAGGGCCTTCAATTTATGATGTGCCAATTCTCACTTCTTGTCTTCCATCTTGGAGGCCTGTCGTCAGGCAAAAAAAGGTGGGATAGAAGTATTTTAAATAGAAGCTAAATTGCTCTGTAAGGGCTCAACTGCCGCAGTTCTGCCCAGGAGACAGAGATGAGTTCCCCATTAATTTAGGATGAAGTTTGTCTGGCCTTCTGAAATCACAGCACTGGTAACTGCTAAATTTCCAGCTGTCGTAATCAGCCTGGCAGTCCATCACCCCCCCATAATTAAGCCATCTGTCTGTCTTAAATGTTGAAAAAGTCGGTAGACAGAGAGGCAGGAGCAGAAGGACTTGGGCAGCAGTGGCCCAGAATAACAGTAGAGTTCAGCTAATTTCTTCCTGCCTGGTGCTGTAACCCCCTCAAGGCTCCAATTTTGTAAAATCCAACTGTGAATCGAAACCAGTAACCCTAAGCAAGAGAATGCAAGCTCAGACTGCTATGTAAATACGTCTATTTTTACATCGAGCCCGTTTATACAGGGTCTGATGTATTCTTCGACAGGGCGAGCGTGCCTGTTACAACCTAGGAGCTCGCAGGAGCTGACCATGCATCTACTCTTCCCCTGGCCTGCTGGGAGCAGGTTACCAGTAAGCAGCCCCCTGCCTTTTTGGTCCACATCTTCCTCATAGTGATGCTCTGCGTTCACAACCAAACTGCTTTGACTTCTGTTGTGCCTAATCTTGAATGTATAAATGAACTGCAAGCTTGTTTACAAATGTTCCTTTATTTTTCTTTGACTGTGCACAAAATATACTTATTTAAGACTCATTGTTTCAGTCCTGTCCATGGTAAGAGTTATAAGCAAGCCATGATTCTTGGGAACTTGCAAAATAAGCATTGGTCTTTCCTCCCCTAGCCTTGGTACACCCTCATTCTAACCATTCTCACAACCTGTAGGCGCATTGCCACCCACTGTGAAAATGGAGGAGGGAGGCTGGAGTAAGTAGGGCTGCCTGTACTGTGCATACCCCCTTTGCATTCCTTAAATCATACGTGGGCACAACAGTGGTGGTGCGCAATATTCTGCTTTTGAGAAAAGGCCTGCTGTGCTCTCAGCATACCTTAGAAGCCACCAAGGCCAAGCTGCAAGGGTGGGCAGATGCACTAGAGCAGCGACAAAGCCAGACCTCAGCACAGGCACTGGGGCCACGTTTCCCTCAAGCTATGGCGTTCTTGCTGTCACACTGAAGGTGAATCCTGCTTTTTTCCTCCTGGGGGGAATGCAGGTGATGTTCCACTCCAGCCACCAACACCAGCTGAAGAGAGAGGTTAGGCTGAGATTTACTAGCAGGCCTGAAGCCACCCTTTGAGTGAGTGGAGACAAGCAGCAGGTCTCCTAGGTCCACAGGCCACCGCGCCACATTGGATATGCTCTAACCTCACCTGCACATGTGAATGTAGACTTTGTATCCCAGCATGTACTATTTTGCTCTTTGAATGACAGTTGGCATCATATTGAGCCTATTCATCAGCTCAAGATTTAGTCGAACTCTTTGGCTCAAAGCTGCCACATGGCCAGCTGGAGGGAGAGCATCCAGCACCAATACAGGAGGGGCCGTTCCACCCATCATGCCTCCTTGCAGCTTGGCTGACCCACTGGCGTGGCTTGAGCCACGTATGATTTTCTACGAATTGTTATGCCCTACTAAGCTATGAGCCCCATGCTGGCCTGTAGTGATCTCATTGGGCTGTGCAGCCTTGTCACTGGGGAGCCAGCGCTGTGGAGGCTGCAGCTGGGAAGCACCGTGCCTGTGTGCCACGGCAGCAAGCACTGAACACACAGCAGTGCAGCCTGGGCAGTATGCAGTGCAGCTGCGGTCCCGGGGCTCATAGAGCAGCTTTTGGGAAGAGGAGGTACAAAGGAACACACGCTTTTCAGTCTTTATATTGAGCAATTTATTTAAAAAATGTATTTCTGAAGAGGACCAATAACAGTAGAGTAAATACAGGTCCGAGTGGACATCATATACTGGTCCCCAAAACACTCCAGAGTAAATAGTGATAGCCCCTGGGAGCTACTCAAGACTAAAAGAGCTACCTCAAGGCTTCTGCAGATTGCTAAGAAGCCAGCTACAAACCCACAGAGGGAAGGCACGGGCCAGCAGGCTTGGGAGTGTGTGTCCCCAGGGTCTTGAGACACTCATTGGCACAAAAGGGAAGGCGGCAGCAACAGTGGCTTTGTGGCCAGGATGGTCCCTTGGTCCGCTGTCGCAAGGAGAGGATGTGGCTATTTCGGAAGAGAAGCATCTGGCCCCGGGCATGACGCTCACCCATTCAGGGAAGGGCTGGCTCTCAGTTTCTGCCATTATGGAAACAAACTAGCTAGTCCCAAGATGCTCCTGCATCCCTGCTGTTTGGCCCCAAAGCTCTACAGCCATGCCTAATTTTTCAAACCACTTTAATTTTATGCTACGGGTCAGCAGGACTTGCCACCCTAATCCTGCAAGTCCAGTGACACTAAACTGCAAGATCAACAGGCGCAGCCCTTTCTACTGAAAACAAGACACGAGTTATTTTTGCCAGCGATTTGAACCCAGACAAATACCTGGATTGCAAAGGCAACTGTAGAGCTGGTGCTGAAGCAGAGAAGACGGAAGAGCAACCACATCTTCATTCACTACCCAAAGAACAGGAAAAGGCAGGGCTCCCTCGTGCCTGCTGGCACATGAAAAAGCACTGCTAGACCGGGAGCGTAACAATGGAGGGTGTGCCGTCACCAGTAGCTGTGGCCTGCCGTTTCCACAGGACTTAATTCAGGGATTTAAAAAGAACACCCACACCCAGCTAAATGCACGCTGCAGTTCAACAGTCCAGGTTTTGGCAGGCAGGCACTGCACGGTAATCCTCAGTTCGTGTTTCATGGAGAAATGGGGAATATACCTGCTTGCTGGTCTAAAAACAATTCACAGCGGAGAGGACAGAGGGCGCAAGGAAGCCGTTCGACTACCGGGAACTCTTTTTCAAACAAGCAACCCAGTCTGGTTGGACAGCCAAGCTGCTACAGATAGCGAGGGCACACGCCAGGTTGCTTCCCGCTGCCGCTGCCCTGGTGCTGGTGCTGAGCCATGCTTCATATGGGCTTATACAGCAAGGTCGTCACGTATTTCTTCTTGTAACGGTGGGTGGCGCTGAGCACCATCACCCCGTCCTAGGGAAGAGGGGATACAGATCAGCACACTGGCCCACCCACAGAAAAGTGACCAGCCAGGTGTGTGTGTGTGGGGGGCACTCTTACCTTGATGGAGAGCGCATAGAGGTGATTGAGCATGACGTGATTTGGCTCGGGAAGCAGAGCTGGATCACACTGGGAGGAGGAGGAGGAGAGTTGTTAAGCCACTATTTAGGACTCATCATTCAAGGCCCACAAGCTATGAGGTTCACAGGGAGAGGATTCCGTGTGCCTGTCAAGCACGGGCACCATCCCGTTCCTTTGCATTGCTTGCTTTTCCAGGACCAATCTCTCGACTTCTGCCAGAGCTCCCCTCTGCTGCCCAAACCACAAAGGGTTTGTTTGCCTTTGCTTCCAAGAGCCTTTCCAGACCAATCCACATACTCAGTTTCAGTGATGGGGTCTTCTCACAGGACTCCACTGCCTCCACTTGCAAGTGAAGAACCCCGCCACCTCAGAGAGAGAAGGCACATATGTACCCTGCTGAAACATGGTGCCCCCCCCACCTGAAAATCAAAGAGGCACAATTCTTGTGGGAAGTGAATATGCCAATTTAGCCAGCTAGTTTTGATTGGATCTGGCCTAACCCTAAGGAATGTAGTCCTTTACTCACCGAAATCCCAGTGTCTTTGTTTAGGATAACCTGCAGTAGATGGGGAGGAAGGATAGGGGGAGACTTGAACCGTTCTTCGGGTTTACAGTTGTAGGGTTCCTGGTGGTAGGGCCCAGGGGGTGAACTTGACAGTTCTGCCAAGGGATTGGGGTGTAGGGGGAGAGAAAGACACCATGGTTAACTACAACCTAACTGAAAGAGCCATTTTCCATTTCAAACAATAGCTTGATTCTCAAAAGGGGCTGACTTGGAGATCCTTAAGGAAGGCAACGAGTAGACAGGCAGAACCTACGTAAAGCAAAGAACAATCAGAGTTCCTGTGAGGTCTCAGGTTCTGAGTTCTCCAGCATGGGGGACCAGAAATGAACGAAAAGTCTGGCAATGATTCCAGGAGTTTTAAAACTTTCACAAGAGAAGCCCCACGATCACCCAGGTAAGACCGTCACTTTGATTTCTGCTTCTCGGGGTTCTGGGTGGGGCGGGGTGCTAGCTTAAGTGTTGGACTGGGGAGCTGGGAGATCTGGGGTTTAGTTTCCACTCAGGTATGAAGCCCACTGGGTGGGCAGCCACACTCGTGGCCTAATCTGTTTAAGAGGGTGGCTGTTGTGAGGACAAAACGGTGTGGGAGAGGACTACATGAGCTACCTGGGGCTCTTTGCATGAGGAAAAATGGATGTAAACATAGCAAAATGATGCTAATGGAAGCACTCGTGGGAGCTCTGTGTTGGCAAGGCAGAATCAGAACAGCCTTTGGCAGCCATGCCCAGCACTGGGTGGCAACGTAGCTTTCAAATCCATGCTCTAGTCACGGTCACTCCTGTCCATTCCTGTCATTCAGGACCTGTAGGATGGGGAAGTGTGTGGGATCCAGCAGTGGGATTAAAGCCTTTTCCCTGTGAGCCAGTCAAACAATCAGAACCAAAAAGCTTCTTTCTGCCCTTGGCAAATTTTTAAAACACAAGAGAATTTGGAGCAGAACTGAAAACCAAGCAGGCTAGCAGTCGGCACACGTCAGCTTTGCAACTGCCTGCTCAGCTGGAAGCATAGCCAGGTGCAGATGCAGGGGCCTTCCCCATCACTTCCGCCATCTGCCCAAGACAGGAAATGCCCTCGAGTTATTCTTCCCCAGAAGCGGGAGAAGTGAGCCTTCTCTAGAGAACGGGGGAGGGTTCCTCAGGTCAGAGAGACTGCAAATAGGTTCTCCTGGGCTCACAGGGCGCCAAGCAACCAGAGCAGCTAGTGGGCAGTGGGCACAGCACAATTTGCTTGCTCCCAATCATGCCAGATACACAGACCCTGCTTGCTAGCACAGAAGAGTACCCAAAAACCCCCAAAAACATTTTCTGCATTTCGCAGGAAAAAAAATCCCATGCCTTTTGGTCAAGTATCAGAAATATAGCAAGTATGGAAGAAAAACACCCTGCAAGTCAACTTTGTGTGTAGACCACTGCCAGGGAATGAGCAGTAGTCAGTGATGTCACTTTGTGAAGAGGTGGCGCTAATCACTGCAGCCCAGAGCCAGAGGGCAGGGCACCCGCACCCATGGGGCTGAGTGAAGGGAGGGGACCAACTTTTCCCTCTGCTGCCGTCTCGGAGCACTGCAGACACTTACCAGACACATCAGAGCACTTCTGGGAGTCCACCATTAGCGCATCAAACACTTCAAAGTCTGTTTTCTTCACCTGAATAACATTGTTGACGGTCCCCAGCTGGCTGGTGACGACAGGCTAACAAAAAGCAAAAGCACTTAGAGAACGGAGTAGGAGCTCACACACTTATCATCACCCTAAATATTTATCCTTTTTTTTAAAAGGATAAATATTCTTGAACTCATCCATCTGCTTGCATGCAGCAAAGGGTCCAAAATACAACAAGAAGAAGTGGGGCAGACTACTCCAAAATTTTATTAAAATGGAAGATCTTGCATTAATGTACTTTATAAAATGTGTTTGTAGAACAATTATATTATGTACTTGTTGTGAGCCGCCCCGAGGCTTTGTTGTGATGGGGGCGGCATAAAAATGTTTTAAATAAATAAATAAATGGGGGTCACTGGACCCATCTCCTATCAGCCTCACGCAGCACAGTCAGTGCTGGAAGCCCATGGCTGCCCCACCCCGTGCTCAGAGGAACCTGCACACCCTCGGTCCAGCGCCTTTCAGCACACCAGGTGGGTCACAGATTCAGCTGCCAGCATCAAGTATAGAGAAATCAAGTTCAGCGTGGGTCCGTACGTATGAAGCAGCGCAAATTTACCGATTTATTCACTTACCTGCAAAGTGTGCCTGAGGGGGGCAGGTAAAAACCCTCCAAGGCTCATGGCACTCACAAGGCAGCTGACAATATCACAGAGCACGCGTGCAAATGTGCAGCTCAACATGCTGCAGCTGATGAGCATTACCTCGGAAGGATCGTGCGTCCACTGGCCATCCACATAGAATTTGTACTGGTGTTCACCTTCGGGGAGGTCCAGAATGGCTACAAAATTTTTGTGGCTGTGAAAGAGGGACACACAAGTAATCTGTTACTCTAAAAAGAAGGTTCTGTACAACAGGGAGCGGGGGCAGAATGTAGACTGGAAATGACTGGGAGATACGGTGAACTGAAGGAGATCGACAAGGGTTTCTGACATGCAATTGCTGGCAGTAGCAGCAGCAAAATGATTTGCCCTTAGCCTAAATGACACTGCAGAAATAGGAAAGTCTGGGGCAGTCGGAAATTGGTCAAGGACTGGGAGCTCTATTCTGTTTTGATTCTCCAAACCAACCTCTGGGCTCAGAATTCCTTAATGTTAAGGGTTCAGGGCATGCCTTTTGCACCTGCCCCCACCAAGTGGGTTTCTGGTTTCTAGTTAAAGCACCATGTAGATGCCACAAGCCTGAAGCTTGCCTGGGCCCAGACTACAGAACTTCAAGGAAAATTGCCACGCCAGTTCTGCAAAGATAACTTTGCCTTTCTAACGCCAAGCCATCCCACTCCCCACCCCACCCCATCTCAATATACAGCAAGAGTTGTCCTCAGGCACGCCCTGCAACCAAGCCTCAAATGAAACAGCACAGCCTGTTCTGGGCTGGCAAGAGCCCCACTGCTGGGGACTGGGAATACACTGCACGGTCCTCTTGCACCGCCCCACTGTTCCTGGCAAACAGCTCCCAAAAACGAGCATTTGCTTCAGAGCCAGGACGTGATACGCTTGTGGGACGATGCTCAATCCCACGGCAGGGCTGAAGCGGCTCTTTCGATTCTGATCAAAGGCTGCCAAGCTCACAGAACGTGTGTTCCTTGGAGCCCCTTTTACTGGCACCAGCAGAATCCTTGAAATGCACTTAGGCAACCCAAAGCTGTTGGCTTTCCTACTTCTTAGGTAGGCAAGTTCACTTTGAACTGGAAGAGCAGCCAGCAAGACATTCACCCACCCTCGATCTAAGCCTGCCATGGGAGGGAGACCAGCTCCTTCCTGGGAAGGAACCCAACTCTGGTGACGAGTCTGCCCTGCTGCGGGAACGCAAAGCCCCCCCGCAGCAATGCCAGAGCATCAAGTCTACGGAGGACCACATTCTGTGACTTTACAAGATTTCCCAAATATGCCAGTTTCTGGTCACTTTCCAGCTGAATTAGCCCCCAGAAGGGCTACAAAAACGAGCAGCATAAGGCTGTGCCTGCACCTCATGTTTCTCTCACTCTCCTCACTTCCAGGGTGCCCAGACTGCAGATCCCAAGAAGCCCCCAAGACTCCTCAGCCCCAGGCCCGAGGAATGCCTGCTGGAGGCTTGGGAGCGAAAGGTGGCAGGAGCTGTCCTGGAAGCCAAGTGGGCTCCTTCCTTCTGGTGGGTGGAGGGAGGAAGAGAGGATGTCACCTGGCAGAGAAGGTACCAGCCCCTAAAAGGCCAGCCCAGTGCCTCGCTGAGTCTGCAAGCGCAATGCAGAGGTGGCGCATGAAGCCCAGAATGGTTCCGGCTGGCTCAAAAGCACAAAAAGCCAGCAAGAGAGGGAAAAGGAGATCCACAGAGGCACGGGCATGATTTCATCGCTGCAATGCCTGGCGCATGGGAGCTGCTTACTGCACTGAGATCCCCGCACCCCATACACACAGAAACAATGGTGTCAGGCTCCTCAACAGAGGCGGTTTGTTGATCCTGCTGCCAGGGATCAAGGGCTGAGCCTCCTGTGACGACCAGGCATGGCTCAGAGATCACCAAAAGCCCCAACTTTCCCGTATGTGAACGAGCCACTGTGAGCCTTGGGCTCCATGCAGTCAGAAAGGGCCGGAAGCATGCGCTCCCCTTTTCAAACAGAGCACGGTGTGGTGTGCTGTGCTGTGCTGTCTCACTTGGGTGACATTCCCCACAGGGAGCCCTGCCGATTACCAGAGGTGGGACCTCCTCCAAGTGAAAGGCTACTCAAGTCTGGAACCCCCCAAAACAGAGATTTACGCTAAGCCCAGATTTCTGTTTCTCACTAATTAGCGCAGGGCCAAGGAACCTTGTTCTGTCCAAATTCCAGCACAGGAAAGCAGTGGGCAGGGCAGGGCAGGGCACAAAGGTGATCTGAAAAGCACAGCACATCTGATGCACGTCTCTCCAGAAGCCAGTCCTGCTGCACTCAGCTGAGTGCACCACGGAGCCGAAAGCCACAAACTGCCACCAAAAGTAACTGTTTCAGGCAGACGCCTGAACGCCAGCAGGAATACCAAGCCACAACATTCAGAGTTGCACTTTCAAATATCCACAACCCCCTTGACACAGAAATCGTGCAAAAGGACAAATTCAAAAATCTAGAAAAAGCAACATATAAAACTCACGTGTACTTTGATGATAGTTTAAATCCACCCCACAAAATAGCCATAAATTATTGTCCTTGCTGAAGATCAGACCCAAGCATTTAGCCATGGCCAGGCAACAAGAAGCCCCCCTTGTTCTCTTGGCTGCCCACCTCTCCCTCCCCCACAGTCCTGACAGCTGCTGTGGCCTAATCAGCACTTCAAAGACCCCAAATCCTCCTTAATCCTCAGCTGTTGGCTCACTGAAGCCACTTTGCAAATGAGTGAAGTCAGAATGTGTGGGAAAAGCGCAAGAGAGGTTCCAGCAGCTGTCAAGAAACAAATAAAAATAAGACCAAAGGCAAGGGGGTGCACTTTTGGTGGCCTTCCCAGTCCAGGTGCCCTCCACATGCACTGGACTACGACTCCTTCCATGCTGGGAGTTGAAGATCGACAGGCACAACTGGAGGGCACCAGGTTGGAGAAGGGTGACTCACTATTGGACAATTTCTCAGAAAATTAGCATGGCTGGCAGGAATTACATCCTAGCTAAAGCTGTGCATTTGACGCTAATGTTTGCAGGCAGGGTGTTTTCTGGTGCATACCCTGTGGGAGAGGGCAAGAAGCTGTGCCATTAAACCTTTGGAAAGCGGCCAAAGCCCCTCGGCATCTTCAGTGGAAAGCATTGCAGGTAGCAAGTGATTCTACAGAAACGGTTTACATGGTTTTTTAAAGCGTACGTTAACCAGTATATTGCATGCTTTTATTACTTGGCGCATGCAAGCATCCCAGAGCCGGGTGCCGAGGGGCTTACCTCCGGGTGAGCGGGATCTTGCTCCAGTTGTTAAACGAGCCTGACAAGAAGACCTCTTTGCCTCCTCCGGTCCAGCGAAAGACAGTTGGCCGCGCTTGAGTGGGAGCTTTATCATTCACCTCCACATCATGCTGCCAAGCCAGAAACTCCTCTTTCTCCATGGGAGCCTAGAAACACCAGCCTGTCCTCAATATCATGATCCTTACAAAACAAGTGGGGGAACAGGACATAACAACATGAGGAAGCACCTGGGACCCTGTTGTGTACTCCACCACACACAGCAGCTTTCCTCCACCTGGGATCCGCCAGATGTTGTAGACTACAGCTCCCATAAGCCCCAGCCAGCCTGGCTAACAATCAGATTATGGAAGCTGTATTTTATTTTAGAAAGTATCCGCAGGGTACTGAGCTGGGAAAGACTGGCTTAAAGAGGTGAGGGTGGTGGGCGTCCCAGTCGTGGAACTCTCCCAAGGGAGGTCAGATTGGCTCCTTCACCAACAGCCTTCAGACAAACTAAAACCGATTGTTGCTTTCCTGAACCTTTGTTGATTAATGCTGCGCCTCTGTGAGGACAAGATACATAGCAATTTCAATCCCCCTGCTCTGGCTACCCCACAGCTACTTTTCCTTGCTGGAATTCTACATGCTCCAAATCTTTCCTCTCTCCTTCAGCTTCTGGAAAGTGGGCTGACCAGAACAAAAGAACTGGGATCGGGGGCGGCAGATGGTGCATTGTGGTTTAACATACGGAGGAAAGAGGGAAGCAGGGTGAACTTAATATAAAAGTGCTCATCAAATCCACTGGCGTTTTCAGCTCCATATGTGTGTAGCTTACAACACACCTGTGAAATCAAAAGTATTTATGAAATAGGTTTCTGTTGGCACAGAAAACTGAGAGTTCAAGGTGACTGTCTTTCTTGTTGGGTTTCAGACCCCACCTCTGCCTTGTACTCAGCCTTTCCAGCAGGTTTCTTGTCCTTTCTGACTATCTGTATCTCCCATAGCAACCACTTTGGGGTGGAATCCACAACCCCAAAAAGGTTGTCCATCCCTTTTCCAAGAGATCCCAAGTCCAATAATAACCCATATAAGAAACCTCTGATGTACTAATTTCCAGATACCATTTAAAAGCAGCAAACAAAGTGGCTCCTGGTGCTTCCCGGAGGTTCTGTGACCCTCAGGTGGAGTCGGCCACATACCTTTCAATATGGAAGTATAAATGGAACAGCCTGGCCAGCCTATATCAAAACTCACATGTACCTTTATTTCTTCAGAATGGAATAAGTCGGCATCTTCGGGGCTGTCCATCAGGATCTTTGGCCTGTCTCCATCTTTTCCTCCCCCAGAGCTGTCTCTTCGAGGAGTCTTATGGCCTCCCTGCCGTTCCGCCCCAGCACGTTCACTGCTCGTGTTCCCCATTGCCACTCAGCTTCAGAAAAGGAAGGCCACCACAAATTACCACAATTAATTCTGTGCCACACGATCAGGTACCGCTGCTCTGATAAGCATTCAGGAAGAAAAGGAAGAACATTGCAAGCGGGGAAGCTGCTGGTGAGCTTTGAGATCACAGGGTGGCTGTGAGGACAAAATGTGGCGTAAAAAAATATCTACGGTCACTACTCTGAGGTCTTCTGGAGATGGGTGGGAGGAAAATGTTTTGTTTTCTAAACTGAAAGACTCCAGATGCATTAGCTTTTCACCGCAAGGAAAGTGCCCTATAAGCTATAGCAAAGCTGCTAAGAGAATGAAGCAATGGGAGGTCACTCATTCAGTAATGTGAGAGCACCTCAGATAGGAGCTCGCTTCAGTAGCTAAAGCAAAGGTGAGGGGCCCCTTTCAACTGGACTGCCAGTTCCAGTTTTGGCATTTTCAGGGGCTGAAGCCGAAGGTGGCAGGACCAAAAATATGCCAGCCACCTGCAGCTTAAAGCTCTTATCCAAAGGGCTAAGCCTTAGAAGTGGCATTAGGACTTTTTAGAATGGGGGGGAGGGGAGAACTGGTCAAAAGCCAAGGAAATGCCAAAGAATTTGTGCACACTGGAACAAAGGAGGCACATCCATCTTGGGGACTACAGAAGGCCAGATTTATCTAGACAAACCACCATTTCTCAGCCTCATCTGCAATATGGGGACAAAACAGTCTGCTTCACAGGTTCCACACACCTTGGTAGCTCTCCAAAATCTGTGGTCACCACCAGTGCGCCAATGTAGTGTAGTGGTTAAGAACGTGGACTCAGGCAATCTTGGTTCTAGTCCCCACTCAGCCATGGAGCCAGCTGGGTGACTTTGGGCCAGTCACAACCTCTCAGCCCAGCCTACCTCACAGGGTTCTTGTGGGGATAAGATTGAGCAGGAGGAGAAAATGATGTAAGCCACTGAGAATTTTTAAAACTGAAAAAGTGGGATATAAATTAAATAAGTAAATAATGCTTCATCCAACCAGCCCACAGAAATTCTGGCTACAATAGGGGTTGGATCCAGGATCTGATTTCCCTAGAAGGAAAGTTTTCACTTGCTGAAAGGTCCTTCTGTCCAGTTTTCTGGAGTTTTTCCCCTCCTGTCATAGCTCTCCCCACTCAGTATCTTTTCTCATGGGATGGAGGAGATGCCAGAAGAAAGAGCAGGCAAGGAAGTTTACTTCCAAATCAGCCAACCAGTGCGGTGCTGTGGTTGGAGTGCTTGACTTGAACTCAGGAGATCTGGGTTCTAGTCCCCACTGGGTCACGCAGCTCATTGGGTGACTTGACCAGTCAACTCAGCTCTTAAATTAACCTACTCCACAGGGATGTTGTTGCCAGAGTAACACAGAAAGGAGGAGGATGACATTAACTACTTTGATTTCCTTGCAAGAGGAGAAAAGGCGGGATAAATATGTACTAAAATAAATGAAATGCAGGCTCGCCTCGCAGGGTCTGCGTCCCTAAGTCAAAACGCGAAGAACGGCAAGCGAGCGACGCCCGGCGCCGAAAAGGACCTCTCGGTCACCTCTAACGTCGTGCACGAAGCCGGGCTGAGGCTTGGCGGGTGAACTTGGGCCGCTCACCCTCGCTCAGTTTAAGCTGCTTACCTCGTAGGGCTGTTGTGAGAATAAGAAAGGGGGAAACGAGGAACCTCACTTTGGGCTCCTCCTCGAGGAAAGGGGCGAGAAAAATGCGGTATAACCACACGCGCGAGCGGAGATGGCACGGGAACTGCACTCTGCACACGCCCAGAAGTCCCGCATTAAAATATCCGGAGTCTCAATGTCCTCCGAATGCATTTGCTTAGAATTTATTTATCTTAAGGATTCCGAAGCTCGAACCACCCGCAATCCCAGCTCACCGGCTCCGTTCCTCTCTCTTCGAAGCTTCCTCAGCAACGACCGTTTCTTCCGCCTGCCCTCTAACCACCCCTCAAGGCACTTCCGGTTCCGGTCGGGCACAGGAGTAGCGGATTGTTGCTTAGTACGCATGCGTGCCCCACGGGAATGTGGGCGGAGCCGAACCAGAAAGGCACCTGTGAGCTGGCCGGATTTAAAGGGGCCGCACCTCCACTCTTCCTCCGCTCTCAATTTTCTTCGCTCTTCAGTCTTGTAATGAGAGTTGCAACTGTTCGCCCCCCACCCTTATGTAACCCTTTCCGCCCTGGTGTCCTAAATAATCCTACGTATGCGCAGGGGAAACTGGTGCTTCTGAAACAGTGGGGCTGCTTATGCATTGCAGCTTTTACCCTGCGTTTTATAGGAGCGATGCATGGCCTTCCATGGTGGCGAACTTACTTGGAAGGTGGGATAGCTTATGTGAGACCCCTCTGATCTCAACCAGGAGAGAAAGAAACTTTGTATATGCTTAAAGAGTCTCCTTGGATGCAGGTGGCGCAGTGGTTTAAACCCCTGTGCTACTGGGCTGGTTGATGGAAAGGTCGCCAGTTCGAATGTGCACAATGGGGTGAGTTCCTGTTGCTCCGTCCCAGCTCCTGCCAACCTTGCAGTTTGAAAGCATGCAAATGCAAGTAGATAAAAAGGTACCATTTCGGTGGGCAGGTAACAGTGTTCCGTGCACGGACCTCTGCAGCCAAACCACCAGTTCTGTGTAATCAGGTAAAAGTTCAACAGGAGAAGCTCCACTCTCTGAGGAGAGACGATGTCACGTCTGCCAAAGTGATGGCTTAGACTCATTGGCTTAGTTTTGATCCTGGGGCTTAGGTACCACCTCCAGCCCTCTTGGGGTCCCAGTCCTGCCCCGTGGGATGCCCCAGATGGCCACAGCCCTTCCCCTGGCCTGACCCCTTTTCCTGGTTTGGTGCTTTCCCCATTCCCAAAGGTTGAACTGCCTTCCTAAGGCAGCCAGAGCTTTAAGCCACCATAGGCAGATATGTCTGGCCCCGCCCCCTTTGCCTTCAGCCCCACCCAGCCCTGGACTGCGGCTCCCAGGATCCCCCTGGCCCTCAGGCTGAAAAGGGCCTGCAGGGTTGTTTTGTGACTGCCTTTAATCCTTGAGCAACAGGGGCTAGCAACCGAGTCGAATGACCACAACCAAGGAAACGCCGCCTGCAAAACTGTTTTCCCAGGAGAGAAGCCTCTGCTGTGTTTTTGAATTCCACTGAAGTTTAGAGAAATAGGCCATGGGTCCTGAAACTACGGCCCGCCATGGTCATTCACCTGGCCCGCCCCAGAGCTTTTGGACTTGTGTGGAGAAAACGATCTCCGGGCGAGCCCGAAAGCTCTGAGCCAGCGCAGGCCTTCCCCAAAACTGAGCGGAGAGCCGGTGCACGTGCCAAATGGTAACAGCTCCCTTCAACTGCATGTGCAACGACTCTTGCCCCATTGCACGCATGCGCCGGATCCCCCCCTCCCATTGCACGCATGCGTTGGCTCTGAATGCAGAGCTGGAATACTGAGCGGGAAACAGAAGAGAGGAGGGCGGGAGAGAGAGAGAGAGACGAAGATACTACACTAGGATTGAAGGCAAGAAAAATACAACTTTTGGAATCTATTTTCATTAGGTGAGCCTTGTCCCCGGCCGTGGGCCCAACTGCGGCTGCCTCGCCGAGCCCAGGGGCAGACAGGCTGAGGCGGAGCAGGACCGTGCGGCCTTCTCTGGGCAAGCCGCCGCCGTTGAGCGGCTGCCATGCTTCCGCCCGTGGCGGGGAGAGGGGGACGCACCCCGCTTGGCCAGCCACGGCCCCATCCCTCGCCTCCCCTCACCTCAGCAGCCCTTACCTGTCTCCTCGTGGCGTCCCGCCCCCACTCCCTCGGAAGCGGGGCGGCGGCGAGGACTATAATTTCCCTCATGCCCAACCAGTATGGCCAATGGACGTTGTAGTCCAACTCATCTGGGCAGTACCAATTTTGGCAAGGTTGCACTAAAATATAGTGGTCGTTAGCTCTGCATCCAAATACAGCCACTGTGTATCGTGGGAATTGTTCTGGACTGACTTGCTGCAAATACTGAGAGTGGCATTAGCAGTATTTATCCTTAGTATGTTTGCTTCATTCTTTGTAAATGCCAGTTGCAGTCATCAGCTGCATTATGCTAAATACTATATTTAGTGCCTTGGTTGTGTTGCAGCTACGTCCCTTGAACATGGACGTGCTCTTCCCCACCTCGTCTTGGGCTTCTGCTGCAGCCCAAGGGAGTGGAGCAAACATTTTTTAATTGTTTAATTATTTTTAAAAATTTTAATCAATTTTTAAATTAATTTTAATTTTAATTATTTTTAAATGTGCAGTGTGCATAGGAATTTGTTCATATTTTTTTCAAACTATAGTCCGTCCCCGCAACAGTCAGAGGGACAGTGAACGGGCCAACCCTTTTAAAAAGTCTGAGGACCCCTGCAATAGCGGTCCGATAGAACCGCCATGAAGGCTGCGCGGCGCTGCAAGCCGACACCACGGGAAGCGAGAGGGGGCTTCTTGGTGCAAGCCGTTTGTCCCCTTCGGCTGGCTCGGTCGGACGGCTTCCCAAGCGTGCGGATGATATTTCACACCCTTCAGATGCCTCGCCTGCAAGCAGTCTGGGAGCACCTACGCAGGGCAGGGAAAAGCGGTGGCAGCACCTTTCCGGCGGAGGTTCTTACCTCCGTGAAGGCATTTGGCACCGAGCCCCACAAGATATAATTAGAGGCTCCCAAGTGGCTGCCGTCAGACAGAAGCGGCAAGAGACGGGCCGCACGGTCTGTGCTTGGAGAGGGTTTGGCTGCTGGGCCATTTGAGGGGGTAAAGGGAATGGGGGGCGCAGGAGAGCACCTGGAAGCAAGTGTGGGCTGCCCCTGCCCGCTGTTGAAGTAGGACGTGTGTGGCAGAAGGGCAACTGAAAATATTTACTGTTTTGCAACACAGACTGCTAGACGCGGGGAGATGCAGGCGCCTGTGCTAGCCTCCCCAGAAACTGGTGCCTGCAGGTGCATTGGACTACAACTCCCAGCAGCCATAGACAGCCTGGAAATGATAGGACCTGAAAGTGATAGGACCTAAAATTGGAGAAAGCTGCTGGCTTAGGCTGCAATTCTATGCATTTCGGGAGAGATAAAACCCTATGGCTTGCAAGCTCAGAGTTGCAGGGTTTCTGTCTGTCTAAAGGGCTCAGGTGCTTATTGTCTTAGCCAGGATGTTACCCCATATCTCTTAGATGGCCTAAACAGAGGATAGGAACCCTCTGACCTCTCTATGCTCATTTCTCACTTACCCTGTTGCATGTTTACATAAGGACTAGAAACATGTCGTGGGGGTTGTTCTGGCTTTTTTACAGCACAACCTGGCATTCTTAGCAGGCTAAATTTTGCACCCAGTGCCAAAGTACATAGTGTACACTGCAGTGGACGGAAGCAGTGATTTGGTACCCAGTGATTCTGTCCCCGTGTATTTGGGGATACTCCAACCTCATTTATCTGGTGTTCCATTCAGGTGGGTCAATAGATGTTATATGGAAACTTGCCTTACAAAAGCCAGACCACCGTTGCATGTTCTGGCCACAGAGCTCCATCCCGCTCTTGCGTCCTTTGCAAGTTTAGACCAAATATGATGCCCACCACTTTTAGCAAAATGCAGGCTCCATGCTGGGATTTGTAGGTTGTTTTTCTGTCTAAATGTGTATGGGGGGTGTCCTCTAAGGGAGAAGCCAGGGGCTGGACTTCTGCCACTGAGCTGTGTCCCCTTCCCAGGCAGATGGCTGTCTTGGTCCGATGCACCACCAGTTCAAGCTCCAGATGCAAAACAAAAGCAACCAAACCCAAAACCATGTGTGCTGGCTGCCACTTGCACAATTTATGCTAGTTACGGAATTTGTTTGCTTTTGATTTGTTTCAAGATTTTAAGCACAGGGTATACAATAGGCACAAGATATCTTGCTTCTGAAACCTGATCTCTCCATTCAGAAATGCCAGCTTTGTGGAGGGAATTTGGTATGTGAACAATTTCAGATGAGACGTATCACCTCCTACCCAAACACTTGTTGACAAAATTGGAGATGCTGAGGACTCAAATGGGGATCTTCTGTGTTCCAAGAGGGAACGGAGAACAAACCAGGAGCAGGGAAGCAAACCTGGAAAAGGTACCAGAGGGGGAGGAGGCAGCACACACCGTGTCCAGTGGATGCCTGTGGCAGGCAGTTATTCTACTGAAACCTGGCCATCGGGAAAAATTTGAATTGTTGAGGGAGTATTAAGAACTGGCCAAGAAAGGCAAGGTGTTATCACAGTGCAGAGCACACAAACACAGATTAAGATGCCAGCATGCAACTAAAACTTCAGGCCATGATGGTCACTTCCTCCCTGCCATCCTGCCCCCTCCTTTGCCCCATCAGTCACCTTAGAACCTCTTTGCTGGGGAGGCAAAAGTGGGTGGGTGTCTGTGAAAGAACAGCCATTTGGAGGAAGTGAAAATGCGGGGGGAAAGCGCTGAGACAGCCTTCGGCACCCTGGTACCCCTCCAGATAGGTTGGGTGGCAGTTCCCATCATTCCCGGTTGCAGTGTATCACATCTGGTGAGCACCGAGTTGGCAAAGGCTGAGTAGAGGAATCCTGGGGCGCAGGGACCACTTTATCTGCCAGGTCTGCCTTTTCGCTTGAGGAACAGTTAACAAACCCAAGATTGCAAAATGCCACGAATCTCCAGCATTCTCCCTTCCCAAAGGAAATCCATCTCAGATAACGCCACCCGGGGAATGTACAATGGACACTGGCTTTCCTCTGATTGTTCCCTGAGAAAATGGAAGCATGCCTGCACTGTACCTCCTCAGGCTAGCGGGGAGGCAAGCACCACCTGTCTGGATGCTTTCCAGCATCAAAGGCTCACTCTGTGTGGAATTCCGGCAGAGGCAGGAGAGCCCTAGCTGGGCTGCAGTTCAACTAGGCTTGTACTGCAAAGGGGTTCTCCCCACTCCGTAGGGAATCTGTCTGAAATGGGGGTGGGGTTTGGG